CGCCGTCGGGAAGAAGAAGAGGAGGAGGCGGGGGCAGAGCAAGAGGACAATTCGGAAGGAAACGGAGGCGGCGCTGAGCCGCGGGTGGTGAAACGAGAGGGTCGGTCAGGGCGGAAGACGCGCACGGTGGAGGGCATTCTTGATGATGACGAAGGAGGCGCGTTCTGGTACCGTGCATCTTGCTGTGAGGAAAACCCGGGCTTTCTGAAATGTGTTGTCGTTGGGCGGGAGGGGGGCGGGGGGGGGGGGGTGAGAGGGGGGGGGTGGCGGGGGGGGGAGAAGAGAGGAGTGGTGTGTATTTTTGAGGCGGGGTATTGGGGGGGGGTTGGGGTCTGTTTTTTTGGGGGGGGAAAAAAACGGGCTTTTTTAAATGGTGGTGGCCAGGGGGGGGGGAAGGGGGGAGAAAGGAAAGGTTCCCCCCCCCCCCCCCCCCCCCCAAAATTCAATACCAAGAGAATTTGACGGCGCCCGCCGGCCTTGCTGGATTGGGACAAACGCTTTATAAATTATATACAGTTGAACACCACACTTTTACTCCTTGCCATGCATGCGCGCGCGCTGTCAGAATTTATGCAAAAAAGCGCAACCCATCTTTGCCTTCTCCCAGTCCAACTCACCCCCATGGTGTGGCGCGGCCACCTTTTCACGCCGAAGTCTCATCACAAGCTCTCGCCAGAGCGACTCCAGCTCCCAACAATGAGCTCTCCTTTGCCGGAACGAGCTCGAGACTCCTGCTCCGGTCGTCCCCGTTGACCAGCGCGTCCACGTAGCCCTGGCACATTGCAAGGTAGCCCGGGTAGCACTCGATTACGCTGCCGTTGTACGCGACCATTGTCCGCACCAGGCCCGTTTCCTTTTCTATCCTCTGGGAAAACTCCGCATCCTCCTCCTGCTGCTCCTCCCCCGGCTCCCGCTTCATCATCTGCCTCTTTTCTTTTTCTTCACCGAGCGACTCGAGACGCATGGACCATACGGCGTGTAGGCATGCCGCGATAATGGCCGCCGACCTCCTCGATACGAAGGATGCTAGGCTGCGGAGGGCGGAGAGATCTGACGTTGACGGCGTGTGAGACGATGGATGTTGCGAGATGAAGAGGTCGATGGAGGATCTAGATAAAGGCGACGTATCACTGTTAAAAATGGTTAGCAGAGTGGAATTTTTTTTACAGTTGGTTATCTGGGAAAAAGCAAAGTACCCTTCAATGGCAGATATTGTCTCGGATTTTAAAGAGTATGGCTCATCAAGCGACTTGGGCACCACGCCCCCAAACAGCCCCGTTGTCTGAATCGCTTCGATCAAAGCGAATCTCACCACTTCGCCCAGATAATACCCGCTGACCATCTGCTCCAGGGGCTGGAAATCCGGTCTCGGGTGGCCCTGCTTCAACAACCCGTCCCAGCGGGTGACGCTGAGGACATCCTGACCGAACATGCCAAGCTCCGTGTTGACGATGACGTCGCGCGCCTCGCACCACCACTCCCGGGGACGATTACCAAACTTTGGTTTCCCAATCAGGGACACGGGGAGGTAGGCGGCAATGTTCACGCCTGTGCCGAGGATGAGGCCGAAACGCGTGGCCGGGTGGATGTACGCCTGGGAGAGCAGCGTGGCGCCGCCGTCGTTGAGGATGACGTGTAGTCGGGCGTTCATGCCCCTGGCCGTGCAGGCGGACTCGATGACCTCACCAAGGTCCTGGCCCGTAAGGCCCTCGGCAGCGAGGAAGCCCTTGCCCATGCCGTGGATACGGCCGCCTTTTAACGATGTTTGCCTTTGTAACACTCAGTCTCGCCGATCCAACCGTTCAAAGTTTGCACAAGGAGGACTTACTCGATGGGAAAGCTCCATGCCAGGGCCATGGGCATAGATCGTGAAGGATCCTGTCCGTCCTGTGACACCATGTCCAAAATCCTCTCGGCCATCCAGTCAAAGAAGGCCATGCCCTCCAAGTTCCTGATGTCATTGTCGATTTTGAATGAACTCATCCGTACAATCTCGCTCTCCTGGCCCACGGCGTTACGACCCCGCAATTCAACCAGTGCAATTCGCAGTGTCGATCCCCCCACATCCACCGCCAGATACTGACCGACTTCGTGCCCGCCGGGAAGCTGATGATTGTATGAGGGGAGCATGCAGGCCATACTCGTCTGCAACTTGTCTCTGAATTGTGCCTTCAAGGCGTTGGATAGCTCGAGCAGTCCATCGTCGAGTAGGGGGCCCAGGAGTAGATGCTCCGCCTCCTTGAGATATTCCTCGATGGTTAGCGCTGAGGGAGTCGTCGTCCCAGATTTGCTGCATTCCACCGCCGACTCTGTTGGTTTTCCCGAGACGGTCTGGGGTGTGAGCCAGTGAGCCAGGAGGGCTTGTATCAAGGACTTGCCCCGGAGCAGCTGCTTGACGACAGCGGCCAAGAAAGATTTGGGAAAAGTGGCCATGGTAGGAGGAGAATATGACTGCATGACATTAGGAGACTTTTTTTCTTTTTCAAATCAGGGAATTGCAGTCGGTGCCGGTGTCATCTAGCTGATGAGATATCGGATTGTAAATAAACGGAATTGGGCACGAGCCATGTCCCCCGGAGACAGGCCGTTCAGGTGAATGAGAGAGATGGTGAGGGCGAGGGTGAGGGAGAGCGAGAAAGAGTGAGGTAGTGGAGGGTTGCAAAGACGTCTAGACGACGTTTAAACGAACTCCACGGCGGACGGCGGACGGACTGGTAGCGGATCGACAGGTACAAGCCGAGAGGGTGACTGACGCACGGAGGCAGAATAACAGAATGGAACCTGCCCCCCCTCGTTCTACTGCTCGGGTTGGCGGTTGGAGGCTAGAGACGTCGTATCCAACAAGACGGCAGTGGGAAGAAGAACAACAACAAAGTGGGCAGGGGTAGACGGGAGAAAGAGAAGGGCGATGGCGACACCACCCAGGAGCCAATGGGTCACTGAACAGAAGGTCGGTGTCTTGGATGAGGAGAGGCAAGGTAGTGGGCAAGGTGAGAAGCGGGAACGACCGAAGGTTCTCTCTTCTTCAACGTCGCACAGGCGATGGGGCGATACGCGGTAATCCCAAGGCCAGGTTCATGTGGTCTAGTTCAGTCCAGGCTCGATGCTCCAACCCACTTCCATTACTTGGGGGCGGAAAGCTCGTGTTGATGGACGGGTGGGAGGGGGGGAAGCGTCCGCGTTGTCTCACAGTTGGTTGAGTACCTACCTTAGGTTCTTGGGATTGCAGGGGGCAGAGAGAGAAAGACAATAGAGAGAGTGTGTGTGTGTGTGTGAGAGAGAGAGAGAGAGAGAGAGAGTGAGAGGAATGAAACCTCAATTTGCCCCAAAGACGGGAGTTGAGCGCATGCAACAATGGACGAATACAGCAGGGGAAAAGCGAGACCTCTCAGAGCCTAGAGAACAGCCCAGAGGTACACCGGGAGCAGAAGACAACAGCCACAAGTGGCAATTGAATAGAAGCAAGTCAGGAAAGTCAGGAGAGGGTGAGTTGGTATTGGTGAGCGCCACCAAAACATGGGGGATATGCTGGAAGACGCCTTGGTCAGCCAGTATTCGGAGCTCAAGGGACTCTGAACCGGGCTTGAACTGCCCTGGAGCCACTTGCTGAACGCGACGGGCACTGTCTGACAATTGTGGTTGAGCTTGTTGAAGGTTGAAAGTGCAATGGAGTGATGGAGGACGGAATTGCCCCTCCAGTTGTAACGTTGCCTTTGATAGTCGTCAAAGCTGTGAGTGTATGTGGCAGCGTGGCTGACCAAATCAGATGAAAACGGAAAGGGACCGGCAACCTAGCAGTCATGAGTCGGAAAGTCCTGAGGCCTGACTCCTGCCGCCTTCGACTCTTGCGCTTTCGGAGCCAAAGTCCCACGCAGGAAGGAACAGCAGGAAGGAAGCAGGGTCGATCCCCCACTCTGTCTAAATTGTTAAGACCCACTACTAAAGTTACATGCAACAACCGACACCAGGTACGGAATACGGATACACCACCTTACCTAAGGTAGGAGTGAGGGGACCATGAAGCTTTCCATCCATATTTGACGATACCCTCCACGCTGTTGCATTGACACGTTCTCCGACGGCGGCCCTGCATGGTTGCCTCTACCCCTCTACTCTCTTGTCTCATCCAATCTGCAGCACCACAGCACCACGTCCCATAGCAATCTGGTAAGGTATCCGTACATGACTGACAAACAACTGAGCAGCTTCTGCCCTTCAAAATTCAAACCACTTGCAATATCGCACGAGAGGTCCATCCAATATGTATCCGTCCCTTTATATGGAGAATCTACGTCAAGTAGCCGGTCGGCGGCAACCATGCCCGTTACGTTAGATCGCTCGCTTCAGTCCCCGCGCATCAGTTGCATGCAAAGCACAGCATCCTCTAGGCTACCCCCACCCCCTGTGCTGGCAGCAGTGACATGCAATCTACCGTCAGCCGCCAGGTCGCCAAAAAAAAAAAAAAAAGCCAAGGGACCCGAGCTCACGGACGTGGTGGCCCATTCGCCGCGCGCCGCCGTGTATCGACGACAAACAACCATCTTCGCCACCCCGTGATATCGAAACCTCCACACAGTAAAAGTTCCAGAAGCTGTTTCTAAGCTTGGGCCCCATGCTGGGTCATCGACCCGGCCACATGGCTCCCTCAACACCACCATCACCGCCCCGCCTAGGGACAGAAACATGGCCGACCCTTGCCCGGCAAACCCGGGGAAGCCGGCTCAACTCGAGTCTAAATCGTGGATGACGATGTGCTATCTGAGAAAGGTCTGCAGCAAATTAGCTGCTGTTCCTGCTCTTCAGCCCGTTTCTCATTCGCAGAGAGCCGCTGATAATCATATCAAGCCACCACCTATTCGTACACTACTCCGCTGTGTCTGAATCGGAGCGCTTCGACATCCAATACCTGTGGGATCCCCCCCATGTGACTCGGCCGGTAAAACCTGCGACTGGGCAACGTTGATGATGTATTTATGCCCCCCCCGGGCCGGTTGTGGTGGGACTCTGCTCCTCAAACACTGCCGATAGCAGTGACGTTCCATCCCCCTCCACCACAACGGGAGAAAATCTTCAGCAGACTTTGGGGCTGTTGCCGTAAGTCTGTGATGTCAGGCTTTTGCGACGGGGGACGGGGGAACCCCTCGAGAAAGAGGGGGTCGGAAGAAGGGCAGAGAGCCGCAAAACTTTGCCTGGCCACCTGATGTAGTTGCTCCCTCATAAGCAAAGGCACCTTTCATCTTTGCCCACGCCGTGCTCGCCCTACCTTACCCTCCGTCCTCCAAAACGAAGTTGAAAATACCTGCAAATCTGACTTCATCTACCCTTGTATCTTACCTACCCTACCTTGCTCGTATCGTATCGTATCGTTGTAAACCCGCACCGTTCCACATTCGTATAAATCCATCCCCACGATGAGGCTCATCATCCGCGACGATGCCGAGGCCGCCAGTGCCTACGTAGCCAACTACGTCGTCGACCGGATCAAGCACTTCAACCCTACCCCGGCGCATCCCTTCGTTCTCGGCCTGCCGACGGGAAGCAGCCCTCTTGGCGTATACAAGATCCTTGTTCAAAAGTACAAGGCTGGAGAGGTAGGACCGTGATACTCTCCCTCTCTATCTCTCTCACTCCCTCACGTTCGTGGCTGACACTGTACACCCGTAGATCTCCTTTGAAAATGTCATCACCTTCAACATGGTACGTAAACTCCTCTCGGAAACACTCTACTACATGGAACTGTTCTAACATCAACGTCCAGGACGAATACGTCGGCATCCCGCGCGACCACCCAGAATCATACCACTCCTTCATGTGGAAGCACCTCTTCTCCCACGTAAACATCCACCCCCAAAACGTCAACATCCTCAACGGCCTAAACCCAAACCTGGAATCCGAGTGCGTCGCCTACGAGGCTAAAATCAAAGCCGTCGGCGGCATCGACCTCTTCCTCGCCGGTATTGGCGAGGACGGCCACATCGCCTTCAACGAACCCGGCTCCAGCCTCGCCTCCCGCACCCGCGTTAAGACACTCGCCTACGACACCATCCTCGCCAACTCGCGCTTCTTCAACAACGATGTCAACCAGGTCCCGAAGCTCGCCTTGACGGTCGGCGTCCAGACCGTCCTCGAGGCCCGCGAAGTCGTCGCCATCATCCTCGGCGCTAAGAAGGCGCTCGCGCTGCAGCGATGCATCGAGCAGGGGGTCAACCACATGTGGACGCTGTCCAGCCTCCAGCTGCACCCGCACCCGATGATCGTCGTGGATGAAGACGCGACACTCGAACTGCAGGTCAAGACGGTCAAGGTAAAACCCCCTCTCTCTTAGCCAGCACGCCAAACCAAACCGAACCAAATCAAAAGGCTAACACAAAAGCAACAGTACTTCAAGAGCATCGAAAAAGTCGCAAAAGAACAAGGCTTCGAACAGATCCTCCCTTCCAAGATCCGCACGGGACCGAGCCCCCCACCCATCCCCGTAACCCGCCTCCACGAGGTCGACACCCCGACGATCCTGCACCCGCAACCCACCACATCGCGGTTGCTCCGCGCCTCCCCGGCGACAGAGTACCCCCTCCGCTCGACGTCGCCCGATATTGAGCTCGTTTTCGAGAGCATGTCCTCCCGCACAAAGTCTCCCTCGGAGCAGCAGCTCCGTGCCGTCACGCCAGATCTCGTCACCGACAGGATGGCCAACCGGATCCCGGAGCAGCCTGCTCTCGCGGGACGCCTGACACCGAATCCCGAGCAGCAGCAGCAGACATCCATCAGCAGATCGGCCACCCCGGAGCTGGTGCCCGATCGCATGGCCTCCCGCATCCCTGAGCCGGCACTCGCGCGGCGTCTGACGCCAAACCCGGAGCAGCAGATGATGTCACGGGTCAATGCTGTCGGTGCTTGAAAGACGAGAGACATGAAATTTTTTTTTCCTTTCTTCACGTTGGAATTGTAAGCATATTGAAACCATTGTCCCTTTTTCCAGTCACTCGCTAGACGCGAAATGTTTGTTGAAAGACGCATTGCAATGGTTTGAAAAGAGAGGCCTAAACAGAATGTAGCATAGTAGAACCATGGCAAAATAAATGGGAGAGGACTTATGAGACTAAAGATTTATGATTTGGCGGTATTTAAAAAGGATATTTGCAAGAACATACATACCCCTGAATCGGGGATTGCGTCCAGCTTTTTGGTTGGATGACGCGTAAAGAGGTAGAGCAGGGGCTCGCCGTGTAGATAAGACAAAGAAAAATATAAAAAAAAGTATATAAAATATAAAATATATCTTGTTAAAGCGCACCTCAGAGAGTGAGGTAACTTACAGCATTACGTCCTTTCGGTCATGGGATGCGCCAAGGACCGTCCTGCATGCACTGCGGCGAACGGTTTGCAAATGTCAGGTGAGAACTCGACCTCAAACAGGAGGAGTCGAGCTAGATTATGGTCATTTTTCTTGTCTTTGAGTTTCTTCATCACCTACAACTCGGGTATAACCGCAACAGACCTAATTTCCCGCTTGGCCTCCATCTCTCGTCCCTAATTTGTGACTCTCTGTCTTTGCAATTCAGCAGCAAGCAGATATGATAATTACCGTATAGTATACAACCATTATGAGTAACCAAAAAAGAAGAAGAAAAACAACAATCAAGATGTGGCTTCGTCAATTCGTATCAATATCCCACCAAATATGAATCTAAGATTCGGCAGTGAAATATCTCTTTGCCTTGCTCCGGAGTTGCTGTGCCTTGATCTCTGGCGGTACGATGGTATGATGCACGACGTGAGGACGATATATTGCCTCGACTGGCGGCATCCTGTGACTCGTTAGCACCTTCACAGCTACGGTAGATTTTGACGTCGGTAAGCCCTTACCAGTCGTCCACACTAAGTGGGAAGTACTCATAGAGAAGATCATCCTCTTCCTTGGGGCTCTGGCTCGGGTTATGACCGGCAGCCGCCATAGATTTGGTGAACTGCGGGCTCTGCACATCCGAGTTCGACCTATTAGGACTCCTCTCGTCTTCTGAAAGGGATAGGTTTATTGGGCCGGAAATGGCACCGCGCGGCGCCGAAATGGACGTCGATGCCCTGCCCAGGCTTCTCGAGGGTTCCGAGGACCAAGCCGGTATGGGTGGTCTACTGATACCCGGTGACATGGCGAGCTTCTTCGCTGGTGGCTGGCCCCCGCTCGACTCACGATATTTTTGCGGCGGCGCCCATTCTGATGGTTGTTGGACGTTGCCGACTGGTTGATATTTGGGTACCGGCGTCGGGATGCCGTTGTTGCCGCCGTTCTCCTTCTGGGGCGTCGCAGCAGTAGCGTCACTGTTGCTCCTCCCGCCAACCTTCTTATCTCCACCCGTCAGGGGGATGTCCTTCCGGCTGTCGAAATTTCGCGGGCTGCGACCTCTTACGATAACGGGGCCAGAGTGGGTTTCGGCGATCTTGACGTCTTCGCCTGACTGCAGCTTGCCAAGCAGGCTGATTTCCACGAGGTAGTGCTGCTGGAGACCCTTCCTCCTGCCGTTGTTCGCCGTCGCGTGCTTGAACTGCAGCCTCTTCCAAGATAGCGGCAGGGAGACCTTGTTTGCGTCCACCTCTTGCCCGTTAGCCAGATCCAGGACGATATTGGGTGGTCCACCGTTGGATTTGGGTTCCTCTGCGCCTATGGGATGCGCGCTCTTCCAGGGTATTGATATGATCTCTGTGACCTTGCCCTCGATGGACTCGATGGCCGTTATCGAGGCGGACAGCTCGAATATGGGCATTTGCCGGCCTTGCTCGTCCACAACGTGGGTGATGTGTCGCGGTATGGTTACCTGTCCAGAGCACTGCCACAGGTTCCGCCGGTAGCACGTCAGCTCGAGGGGTCTGCCGCTGTTCTCGGCGCCAAAGACGTCTTCGGCGACGAAGAACATGCCGTAGAGCTCGGCAGTCATGCTAGGTTCTACATGTTGGCCCGTCCCGTCCAATAGCGTCGCCTTCAACGTCGGGGCCGAAAAGCCGAGCAGCTTGTTGTCCAGCTCCTGCGTGGGCGAGTCTTGGTTGAAATCCTCGGGGGCAGGCGGGGCTTCATACTGGCGATTCGAGTATGCGAAGGGGTCTTCGAAGCCCGTAGCGGAGAAGTCTTGAAAGTCGTAGTTGGGAGTGAAGGGTAACGTGGGGAAAGTGCCATTGACGGTATCTCTAGAGGAAGCGAACAAAACGGGTGTTGTCAGCCAAATTGACTTTCGTCTTATGGTTGCGACCAGGCACTAGCGACTGGAGAGCTGACGCTCCTGCGTCTCACCAGCCTCGCTACGTGCCGGAAAGACCGAGGGTACTTACAGCAGTGAGTCGTCAAATATGGAAGAATCTATGCCGTCGCCGGGCGTCGCGCCGGACGACAATGGATGGAACGCAGCCATGGCATGGTAGTAGGGCTGGTGCAGCGAGCGCAGTGCCGACGATGCGCGCCGCTACGCCTGTTGGGAGAGCCTTTACGTTGGCTATACAGGTCCAGTGTCGAGCAATGCGGAATGGAAAGTTTCCAGAAAAGAGCCGTATCGAGCGAAGGAGTGACCGCGAACACGCAGGCAAGAGCAAATAAGTGACGGGACTTGAGGAGATTTGGAGCTGGGCAGCCTAACGAATGTCAATGGGAAATGCAGATGCGGAGGGTTTCCTCGAAGACTCGGCTTCTGGAAAGAACGTGGAGTCGAAGCGCGAGAAAGAAGGAAGGAGAGCACCTGCGCATGCACCCACCCCTATCAGGTCGCCCATGTACCGTCATTGGCTGGCTGTTATCGCACTGTGGAGGCAGGGGATTAAAGTGATGGCACCAAGATGCGGGGGGGTCAAGGATGCGCCTCCGGGCTGACGGATGGACCGATGATTCCCGGAACACAGCTGTTTTTACTGTGCAGACGCACCTCCTTCTTTCTCTCACTACCTTAGGTTGGTAAGGTAATCAAATGACACGGCACTGTCCGATCTCATTCACGACTAAGAAATCTTTCAACTCATGGCCGAAGGTCGGCGTCTACCGTAATCTAACCTGACGTTGTGCAACCATCCTTAGTTGAGAATTAACCAGACTATGGTGAGGACTAAGCGAAGCCTCCTCTAGTGCTACCAGCCCTAGCCATCTTTGAAACTCTATCGCATCCATCTACATCAAAAAGTTCGGATGGCAGTTCTACGAGTATACAGTCTATTGTAGGGCTTGACCCTGTCCCTTCGCTCTTCTCTCACGATATGCATCCTCCATAGCTATCCCAAGAGTCTTGACTCGTGCGGCTTGTTCGTCAGTCTATGTCGTAATCGGCGATTGATCGTCCTTTCGGCTAGACACCAACGCGCCAGACTTCCAAACTTCGTCTACCACCAACTGAGTGGCACCCTCCTTGATTTCTTCGGAGAAAATGACCAAGTCGGCATCCGCCCCGTCTTCCAAAGAGCCCTTGACTCCCTGGAGGCCGAGCATCGCTGCAGGCGTCGCAGTGACGGCCTTCAACGCCTTTGGGATGCCCGTACCGGACCATCGGAGGAAGTTGTTTACGCATTCCATTAGCGTGACGGCACTATAGGCTGTTAGTTTCATCTACCTCGCAAGACATCGTTTAGAACCATCCTCTATCTCTCACCTTCCAGCAATTGTGTTGGTACCCTCCAGCAGCAGCGTGGACCCCACCTTGATGATGTTATTCACATCCTGCCCATTGGTCCACTGATATGAGCCATCCGCAAGACCCATCATGTGCATTGCGTCCGTCACCAAAATGAAGCCATCGGGGTGGGCGTTGAACGCAATCTTGATCGTCGTCGGATGGAGATGGATGCCGTCGGATATGATGCCAAAATACGGCCTCGCCAGGCTCTCGGCAAGCCCCAAGACTCCAAAGACACCGGGGTTGCGGTGGTGGAGAGGGCGCATTGCGTTGAATAAATGTGTAATCATTGTGGCGCCCGCGGCTACTGCGGCCGACGCGTCTTCGTATGTCGCTTCCGAATGGCCGATGGAGTAGATGATGCCCCTTTCCCGCAGCTCGGGAATGATCTTTGTCATGTTGCCCCGTTCTGGCGCCGCCGTGATCATCTTGATCGGGATGACACCGCCGTTGGCGGCGCTGGGCTCAATGTTCTCGGCGCCGTAGCATTTAACCAGGTCGTCAAACTTCTCTGCTTGCTGCAAAACGTCGACGTTGTGAATACCGTTCTTGGTGGGATTCAGGAACGGCCCTTCCACGTGAGCTCCGAGCGACTCGGCTCCGTCATGAGCCGCTTGTAAGCCTCCTGATGCTCCAAGATAAGGCAGTGCCTATCACTGTTTAGCATCTTTGAGATCGGCCATCTCCGGATTAGTCTGCTCACCCCTTGATAGAGCTCTGGCTTTTGGCTAGTGAGTGTTGGGACGTAGGACGTGACGCCCGTGGCCACGAGTTTCCTGTTCAATTCTCGGACTTTCTTGCCGTATTGCGTCATATCCTCGAGCAACGTTGAAAAGTTGAAACCAAAAGCGCCGTTGAGTTGGCAATCAATCATGCCGGCCGACACGATGCGGCCATCTAGGTTGATGGTCTCATCCGGGAGACAGAGGTCATCGAAAAAGGCGGCCTGGCTGCGAATGATCTTGCCCGTGACAGAACTGACCCAGATATCCTCTTGCACGAGGGCGTCGCCCTTGACGAGACGACAATTTGTAAACTTTGTAATGCCATTCTTTGGCGTTTTGGAAATGGCGATGGGCATTTTGTGTTGTCAGACTGGGTGATGAACGCTGGGGTGTCTCCGGATTGGTGGGAGATTGGGTATTAAGTTGCACTTCAGTGACGACGCCATAAACGAGGGACGGAAAAGGGCGGCAGTAAGGGATCGATTCGAGTATTATTCACCAGCAGGCGCGCTTGCTTACCATTGCTTGAGACCGGAGCGGCAAATTCACCATAGAGGACCGGCATGGCCCGGCTTGCAGGGAAAGTCTCATGGCCGTCTAAGGTGTTGGCACATCGTCATCGCCCCTCACAGTTGCAGCGAGATAGCCATCACACATGGTGGTATGAGATAGGACGGAGACTTGGGTGTGTGTTCCTACGGATAGGTGTATGTTTGGCAGTGGCATCAAACGTGCCTTTGGTGGGGTGTGGAGGGGTCAAGGCCGATGGCACCGGTGCCGGTTGCACTGCCATGTGCCCTCTGTCCCCCTCCCCGTCCCCCGAGTCAGAGAAAACTACTTGACCAACGGCTGGTCCACATGGTAGAAGCTACTCGTTTCTGGAGCTTTGTTTCACTGCAAGCACCCAAGCTCACGGCGCAACGCATCACCACACTGCTTTCCGGGTTCCAGAAGCGGAGGGTGGGCCCCACACATTGTGTCAGTGAACTTGGACCGTTAACGTTAGGTTGGGAAAAGACCCCCAAAGGGCGAGCGTTGCATGTGTGGGAGCCGGAGAGACACACAGACAAGGCCTAGACGGGACAGGGAAAGAAGGTTTGACGTGGTGAGGCTCCATGTAACGTTCCGTTATCGAGGCCGAAGATCAGAGACGCTAACATCAGGAATGGAGCTTGGCTTGCTTGGCTCTTCGGCAAGGTAAGGTACGTACCCTGACCGAGCACGTCGGCCAAAGATGCCTGGGTGGAGCCGGGACAATCGGAGCCCCATCAGTTCCACACACCTTCCTATCGGCTTATCGCGATAAGAACATTTCCCCCAGCCGGACAAAGTGCGGGCAAAGGCGGACACGACTCCTATCGACCAATCGATTCCCTCCCCGACCGCCTTCCGCGCTCCGCCTCAGCCAATGATTGCCGGCCGAGGCTGGTGCAGCAGCCCACCGCTCCCGCCGCGCATGGCGTCCCACGCCCACGTCCAGCTGCAGCCCGCGTCCTCCTCCTTCGTCCCGCACGACGGCCCCGGGTCACATCCGTCCAGCAACCGGGAGTCAACGTCAACGTCGGAGAAGAGTCGCCGCATCCGCCACCACCGCCCACCCCCGTTTGAGAAACGCCATCTCGAGCGGTACTATGCGCGGCAAAACGTTACGAGCCGCAGACCACTAGCCATGGGCAACCTCAAAGTCAACATGGAGCTCGAGTCGCTTGACCCACTATGGCAGGATCTCGATTGGTACGTTCACCTTGTTTTAACTCGACCCGCCCTCGCCCTCCACCATCAATCGCGCACATCCATCCCCCTTGCCTTGTCCGTTGCCCGTTTACGGCATCACATCTGGGGAAATGGCGCAAGTCATCCAGCTCTTTTCCGATTCGCTCGCTGACATGCTCACGCCGTTGCGCCGTGCAGGGCCATTGGCCAGATGCTCATCATGGGCTGGGATGGCACCGAGGTGACGCCCCAAATTCGTTCACTGATTGAGGATCATCACCTCGGGACCATCATCTTAACTGCCAAAAACCTCAAATGTCGGTGCTCCTTGCGCTATTGGGCGGTTCCGCTGTGCCAGCCGGATTGTGAGTTGGTGCTGATGCCTTGGTAGCTGCTCAAGAAACGGCCAAATTAGTCAAAGAACTCCAAACTATTGCCCACAAAGCCGGCCACCCTAAGCCGTTACTCATTGCCCTTGACCAAGAGAATGGCGGTGTCAACAGTCTCTTCGACGAGGACTACGTGTGCCAATTCCCAAGTGCCATGGGCGTGGCCGCCACGGGCCGGGTCGAACTAGCTTACGAAGTATCAAAGGCCACTGCAACTGAGGTTGGGGCCTGTGGCATCAACTTCATGCTCGGCCCAGTGTTGGATGTCCTCTCGAATGCCAGGTACCAACCTATCGGAGTGCGTGCTACCGGCGATGACCCCCAGGAGGTCTCCCAGTACGGCATCGCCGCCATCAACGGCATTCGGGATGCCGGTCTCGCAAGTTGCGGGAAGCATTTCCCATCCTATGGAAACCTAGACTTTTTAGGATCAAGTTTGGACGTTCCCATCATTACGCAAACTCTGGAAGAGCTAAGCCTGAGCGCCCTGGTGCCCTTCCGAAACGCAATCGCAACGGGCAAGCTTGATGCCATGTTTGTGGGAGGCTGTGGCATCTCAAACCCCTCCATGAACGTCTCTCACGCGTGCCTGTCAAACCAAGTCGTGGATGACCTTCTCCGAGAGGAACTTGGTTTTGATGGTGTCGCCATCTCGGAATGTCTCGAAATGGAGTCCCTGACTCACGAACTCGGTGTACAGAATGGAGTCGTCATGGCCGTGGAAGCCGGATGTGACTTGGTGCTCCTGTGCCGAGCCTATGACGTTCAACTGGAGGCTATCAAGGGGCTAAAGCTCGGTGTCGAGAACGGCATCTTTACCAAGGAACGAATCTATACGTCGTTGAACCGCGTACTACGACTAAAGGATACTTGCACGTCCTGGCAGTCGGCACTCAACCCACCCGGGATATCGCTTTTGTCCAAATTGCACCCTTCACATATGGCTTTAGCGAGGAAATCATACGACGATTCCATCACAGTCATTAGAGACAAGGAGAAATTGTTGCCCCTTTCCGAGTCAATGCACCAAGAAGAAGAGTTGCTCCTTCTTACACCATTAGTGAAACCGTTACCGGCGTCAAGCTTAACCAAGAGCATCCTCCAAGCGAAGGATGCCCAGAGGCTTGCCCCGACACCACATGACAGTTGGCTCCACCGGGAGAAGGGAGCCATCATGAGCGGTGAGGGCGTTTTTAGAGAATTCGGACGCTCTCTAGCTCGGTCCCGTCACGGAAAGCTCCTTCATACCAGCTATACTGCGAACGGAGTCAGACCAGGTATGCGTTACTCTTCTGTATAGCGCCGAACATGCGGCTGGCTAACGTTCTCGGCCCCAAGTCCACGAGAACCTCATCCACAGAGCATCCTGCATCATCATCGTAACTGCGGATGCCAACAGAAACTTGTACCAAGCCGGCTTTACGAAACACGTTGAGATGATGTGTTCGATGCTACGAACTCGTGGCCAGAAGAAATCCGTCATCGTCGTGGCCGTGAGCTCCCCATACGACTTCGCCATGGACAAGTCGATCGGCACCTACATCTGCACGTTTGACTTTACAGAAACCGCAATGCACGCGTTGGTACGCGCTCTTTGCGGTCACATTGTACCGAAAGGGACGCTGCCGGGGACATTGCGAAAGAGCAAAAAGGTGCTGAAATCTCGCCAGCACTGGATCGTGGAGGAGTACGACCGTCGTCGTGACGGACACGGGCTGGAAGAGCTTACAAAAGCGGTCGCCCGCGCAAACACGGTCGACTTGGGCCACCTAGAGTCGATGCCGGCCGCGTGCTTCGAGCTCTCGAAACCAAACGTCGAGGAGGCGCACTTTGTCGTCAGGAACAGTAGCACCCACGCCCTGTACGGGTTCGCAGCCACGTACTCGGTGGACGGGATCGGCATCCTTGGCGCCATCTTCGTGGACCCATCCAAGCGCAACGTCTCGGTCGGCCGGTCCCTCCACAGGCGCTCGCTGCGGTACCTCACCAGCAAGCGGGGCGTCAAGAAGATCCAGCTCGGGACTTCGTTCCCCGGAGTCTTCTTGGGCATCCCGATCGACGAGGGTGGCGTCAAGAGCTGGTTCGCCAACAACGGCTGGGACGTGCAATTCCCGAAACGGCTGACGAACCTCATCATCAATGACCTGAGCGGCTGGGCGATACCGGAAGGCCTGCTGCAGAGCATCCAGCGGGCGAACCTCAGCTTCGACCTCATCCACGGCTTAGACAACGCCGAGAGCGTGCTTGGCCACGTGGGCGGCAACGCGAACCCCGAGGTGCTGGAGCTCTACAGGTCCGCGCTGCAGGAGACCAAGGCGTGCGGCATCGTAAGGGCGAAGGGGCCGGGCGACGCGCTGCTGGGGACCATCATCATCTGTAGACCCGGCAGTCCTCTGTCGACGTTCATACCGCCTCTGCTCTCCCACGTTGACGAGGGGATCGGCGGCGTTTTGGCGCCGGTCATTCATCCGGGACCGCAGGATGCGCTGGTACTTCAGGGGCTGACTCTGATGGGCGTCCGACAGAACAAGGCGCACAAGTCGGCCAAGACGGTCCTTAGCTGGGTATTTTGGCCTCCCCCCCTCCTCGTTCGTTTGTGATACCTTGCTAATGATTTGTGCGCAGGTGCAAGATGACGCTTACGAACATGTCATGGCGATGGGATTTGAGATTTTGCAGTCTTATGAGGAACTTACGACCGCCCCAGACAACGTGAGTGTTTGCGATTGATGGAAGGTGTTAAATATAAACAGACAAGCTAACGATGACTCATTAGTGGACTGATTTGAACTAGGAATCTCTGTAGTGCGCCTTTGGGAGGTCCAGCGTGTGGTATAGGTATACCCTTTGGATTTGAATTTCTGGGATATCATCATTTGATACGCGCGCGAGAAGAGCTACTGTGGTGTGGGGCTGTAGGCCATCTCTCTACAAACAAGAGTGTATGCGGAAAACCCATCACGAATAAAACAGTGGGCATTTACGTAATTATAGAGCTTAAATGAGATAAAATCGTTCCAAACAATTTCGGGATACATTGGCCTATACGCTTGACAGGTGTAAGGCACCCTCCAAGTCGCATCGCAGAGTCACAACCCGAGATCTTGGGCGTGGGTTCTTGGGGATAGCATCCCCGTTAGATGTGATCGTTCCAGATATCGGTACGATGCGATTCGGGATTGTGACAGGAGACCACTCTTTGCTTGGAAGTCTATTCAACTATACCTAGGAGACGACACCTAGGAGGTCTACCCAGAGTCACGCCCAATCAATCAAGTGGATGACCCCTAGAGGACACCTGACGACGGAAGATGTATAAAAACCCAGGGTGATGATGTGCTTCGGGCCTTGATTCGTTGATTCTCTCAACTCTGCAGATAAACCGTTTTAACCAGCGGATACACCCGGTAAATTTATCCGCTTTGAAAGTTTTTACGTTTCTGCTTGCTGTAGGTTCCCATAACAGTTCATTCCCATCTGTTCTGCTCTAGATATGGGACTTATTGCAAGGGGTTTGCCGCCTCCTACAACCTACATGTTGAAGAAAAGCGAGAAAGATTGCGAACGGAGCAGAATCGACCTTGAAAGATGGTGAAAGCCGGAAATTGAAGCGATATCACATATTATCACAACTTGGCGTTCATCGTTTGGACAAGTGGGAACCATATTGCCGCCTCCACTTGGACCTTTCCGATCAAACCACCTTGCTCATTCCCACATGCGGGGAAACCCAGGAAATGGCGAGAAGCCGGAATCTGGATGAACCAGGGGGGGTTATGAGATGGCCCTCATCAAACCTCGTCATCAGATGAAAAGTCTTGCAATTTACAACGAACGACCCTTGAACCACCTATGCTAGGAGCTTAGCCAGGAGCAATACAAGCGTGAGGAGAAACGTCAAGCTTCTGATGATCTCGTGGTCCAAAATTACAACAGGTGCTTCTTGGCAGAAAGAACGCACCATTGGTTTGCGTAGCGGCGGCCTTGGAGATCTGTGAGTGGCCACAATCTAGGATCGGGGGGGGGGGGGGGGGGGAGATGGAGAGGGGGGGGAGAGGAGGGGAGTGGGGTGGGGGGGGGGGGGGGGGGGGGGGGGGGGGGGGGGGGGGGGTGTGGGGGGGGGGGGGGGGGGGGGGGGGGGGGGCGCGAGTCGATGAGGTGCGGGGAGGAAGTGTGGAGATGGATTGTCTGTGGTTCGCGGGGAAATTTGTACCCGACTGGGGTGAGCCCTGGTCCTGGCCTGGACTACACACAAGTGTATCGCCATTGGGAGATCGCTTCGACGAAGTCATTTTTGGGGAATGAGGGGGTTCGATACTCAACCGTGGTCAATTCAAGGCTAATCAGAGATGGCTTCTGGTGATCTTGGGTGAGATGAGGGGAGACGTTCTATTCTGCTCTACTCCAAGACACATGTATACGACGCGGGGTAAGGCTTCGACGGCATCATCTTGCTGTGGGCTCAGAGCTGGGGACACCCGAATATCCGACAGGCCATGGTTGGCTGTTCCATCTGCTGGGGCGGGCCGGGCAACCCTCGGTGAGGATGCCACAGGCAAAGACGAGGTGTTGTCACGTTGGGAGGACCGCCAAACATTCATTTGTTGTAATCGACTTGAAAATAAACACAAAACCCGGTTCTAAGCCATCTAATCCGATATGCAGATAGCCTCATAGAATCATCAAACAAAGGCGTGCTTCACACAATAAAAAATCCCGCAATCGTATCACTATCATCGTCAACACCCAACACATCAGAGCTCCTTGATGGCGATCTTGCCATTCAAGAGGACGGTATCCTTGAGCTTCCCGTCCGCCCCAACCTCCAAAACACCAAGCTCCTTACCGTCGCTGTCGACGAGCGTCGCCGTGGCCCCCTCCTTGACCTGGTAGAGCCGCACCTCGACGTCCCGCACGTAGTCGTACACGGCGCCGACGGCCTGCTCGCTACCCAGCACCAGGATCGTGTTCTCGCGCACGTACAGCGGCAGCGTCCCGAACCCGTGCGTCTCCCTGAACCAGCCGGGTCCGTCGCGGTGCTCGCCCGAGAAGAACGAGGTCCACCTACCTTTGGGCAGGTAAAACTCCACCTCGCCCGCCTCCTCAAAGATGGGGGCCACCAGGATGGATGGGCCGAGCATGAACTGGCGGTCGAGATACCAGGACGTCGGGTCCTCGGGGAACTCGATGCACATGGCGCGCAGGGACAGGGGGATACCCTGCTCGACGGCCGTCTGGGCCTGGGAGAAGATGTACGGCATCAGGCGGGACTTGAGGGCGGTCCACTTGGCCAGCGTCCGCGAGCACCCCTCGTCCGAGGCGTCGTCGTCGTCAATGACCCAGGGCACGCGGTACGAGCTGCTGCCGTGCAGCCGGCTGTGGCTGCAGAGCAGGCCCATGGCCACCCAGCGCTTGTAGATCCAGGGGGGCGGGTAGCCCTCGAAGCCGCCAATGTCGCAGCTCCAGAAGGAGAAGCCGCTGAGGCCCAGGCCGAGGCCGCCGCGGATTGACTCGGCCATGGCCTCGGGCGTGGACTCGCAGTCGCCGCCCCATTGCAGGGGAAAGCGCTGGGTGCCGGCGCACGCGGCCCTGGCGAAGAGGACGGCCTCGTCCCGGCCGTAGCGCTTCTGGAGGGCCTCGTAGACGACCTTGTTGTAGGCAAAGGCGTAGTAGTTGTGCATCTTGACCGGGTCGACAGTCTTGTCGTACCACTCGACGTCCAGGGTGGGGATGCGCTCGCCAAAGTCCGTCTTGATGGCGTCGACCCCTTGGTCAAAGAGGGTGTTGAGTTTGTCCTCGTACCACTGGCAGGCCTCGGGGTTGGTAAAATCCACCAGGCCTATGCCGGCCTGCCAGAGATCCCACTGCCAGACGTCGCCGTTCTTGCGCTTGACGAGGTAGCCCTTCTCAGCCGCCTCCTTGAACGCATCGCCGTGCTGCGCAATGTAAGGGTTGATCCACACGCAGACCTTCTTGCACAGCCCAGACTCCTTGAGCCGGGCAATCTGCGCCTTGGGATCGGGGAAGCGCTCCGAGTCGAATACAAAGTCGGTCCACGTAAATGCCTTCATCCAGAAACAGTCGTAGTGGAAGACGTCGACGGGCGAGCCGCGGGCCTTCATTCCCTCGAGGAAGGTGTTGACCGTCTCCTCGTCGTAGTTTGTCGTGAAGCTCGTCGTCAGCCACAGGCCGAAGCTCCAGCTGGGCACCTTGCCGGCCCTGCCCGTGAGCGTAATGTACCGCTTGAGAATCTCCTTGGGGGTGGGCCCGTAGATGATGTACCACTTGAGCCGCTGGCCCTCGACGACGGTCTGCAGACGGTTGCAGCGCTCGCTCCCGACCTCGAGCTCCACCCGGCCGGGCGTGTCGATGAAGACGCCGTAACCCTTGGAGCTAAGCCAGAAGGAGACGTTCTTGTAGGCCTGCTCGCTGGAGGTGCCGCCGTCGGCGTTCCACAGGGAGATGGACTGGCCGACCTTGTTGTAGGCACCGAAGCGCTCGCCGAGGCCGTGGATGGTCTCGCCGACGCTGAGCATGGTCTGGGTGAACATGTAGTGCTTGAAGTCGCGCATGTCCCCAGTCTGCATTGGCGTGCTTGGCGCAGGGTTGTAGGCGAAGCCGACGCTTCGGCTCCCCAGGGACGTCAGCCGCTTGGAGCCGTCGGTACTGTGGAACTGGATGTCGAAGTCCGGGTGGATGGTTGCGGACAGCGAACCGGAGGACAAAGTCGTCGTCCCCTTGTCACCCTTTTTGATCTGTGCCTCAATTTCTGGTCTGACATCTGGGAAAAGCTCAAAATGGGGACCCTTGTTGAGGGCGCCGGCCCAGTGCGTTGCTTCGACTGAGATGACGCCGTCAAACTCGGCCTTGACATCCTATCTTGGGTGTGAGCGAGGAAAGATCATGATGAGGATGAGAGAGGCCAGAGTCCTCGACTTACAAGAGTAACTGTGCTCGCATTTAGCGTATGACCCCGAGTCTTGATTTTCCTCGTCGGGCACAGCAAGCTGAGGCCTTTTCCATCCTCAATCTCAGTGGTGTAGTAGACTTCCTCTGCGTACTCGGTTGCCGTCCCCTCGGCAGGCAGCCACATTCCATCGCGGAGACGGACCATGATGATTTAAGGGGGTATCTTGCACCAAAAAAAAAAAAAAAAAAAAGAAAGACGGCGAACAGAGATGGTTGTGAATCGAGACACAATTCAGCCGGGAAATCGGCTCAGGACTGAAGTAAATCTCGTCTCTTGTACGACAATTCCTGAGCACGAGGCGTGCGGAGGATTATTCGGAGGAGGTGAGACGGCTCACACTCACACGGCAGAGTCCCGCTGTCGGGGAGATGTTGAGCGAATCCCATCGTTGCAATCCCGCCGGTACCCGCAATGGAGCGAGCCTCGGCGACGAGGCCGCTGATTCATGTTTAGCCATTGGAATCGACCGATTGGTTCCGGGGGGCCGGCCCGGTGACACGGGATCCGAAGTGGGCATTACCTTGGAGAGAAGGCGAGAGAGGGGGAAAGGGAAAGTAAAGAGGTGCACCAGAGTGCAGGTTAGTGCACTGGTGACTTTGCGGAGATCTGGGGCCATCTGTTGTGCCATAACCATTCCGTGCAGGGCAATGCTGTGGGGTTTCCTGCCGTTCCCGGGCCGTTAGTGCTGGGCGGTTCTTCAACCGGACTGGTCGGATTTGGGCGGTTCTCGGGCTCCGGATCAGCTGGGGCCGCGGACGCTTTCATTGGTGGAAACCTGTCAGCACGGGACCCACCCGCCAAGCAGCCGGCTGCCTTAATAGGTAATACATTGTACACTTCCCCATATGCCAGCCCCCTGCACCCCCTGCACCCCTGCCCTCTCCTCCCCAGGCAAATGCAAGCGGACCCCTGGCCGGTTCTTCCTGCAGATCGGGAGAAGCAACTTCCACTGGGTTTGCCAGAAAGCTTTCTCCAACTTTTCCATCTCCAAGTTCCAACGGCTTCCCCTCATGCGCTTCTGGTTCATCCCCATCACGGCCAACTTCACAAACCTGTGCACTGGTTATCCCAATTAGCTACCCGACAGCTCTGGTCTGTCGTCAGTCCGCTTCTCTCGGTCCCAACACCGCCACTCCCTGCGAGGCCATGTGCAGGAACCACCATGGTTCTCCATTCTTCTACCCAATGAATGCCGGACAAGACCGCTGCGAGATGCAAATTAGCATTACATCGCTCCTCACTTTTTGTCTTTCGGGATGGACTGGGGGCAACTGGGGGCACAATGATTGATGCGGAGAAGCTACTCTCCTCTCCTCACCTCAACGGTCCTTTGCCCCATTGATATTACGTCTAATTACTTCGGCTCCTTGGCCGTGGCATCATGTCACTAACCAGGTTAATTCTCTTCGTGGAGTGCAAAGGAGCTGCAGAGCGGGGAGCTGTATTAATACCCGGTGATCGCGCGCGTCTCCTCTCCAGAGGCAGGTCCGTCTCTTGAGCTCTGGATCTCTAGTCAAACGTCAGCCAGTGTTCCATTGACCGGAAACCGGATCGCGGAATCATGAAGCTCTCTCTAACGTTCGCCTCGCTGCTGGTCGTGGCCGTCACCGCCCAGAACGGCACATACCCCAATGGCACTTCACCCATCTACAAGAACCCAAACGCCACTATTGACGACAGAGTCTCTGACCTGTTGAAGCGCATGACCATTCAGGAGAAGACGGCCCAGTTGCTTCAGGCCGACATTCGTGACTACCTCAACCTGACCGATGGCCGCTTCAACCAGAGCGGTCTGACCTGGAGTGCCGAGCACAGAGCCAATTCCGTCTGGACCGGTCTATACTCAAACGTCTCTACCATTTCCTATGGAGCCAAGATTGCCCAAGACTATTTGGTGCACAACACCACTTTGGGTGAGCTGGTTTCCGATAAAATTGCATCAATTGTGATACTGAGATCCTCTAGGCATTCCTGCTTTCATTCAGAGCGAGGGTATCCACGGCTTCCTCGCCCTCAATGCCACCATCTTCAACTCGCCCATTGCCCACGGCAGCTCGTGGAACCCGGAACTGGTGGAGAAGATGGCAAAGGTCATTGCCGTCGAGGCCAAGGCTCTCGGTGTGAACCAGATCTTCGCCCCCGATGTTGACTTGGCTCGCGAGCTGAGATTCGGCCGCGTTGAGGAGACCTACGGCGAGGACCCCTTCTTGTATGATCAGATGACCTCTATTAAGCACGTCGTAAGCTAATTCGGCACAGGGTCGGCGAGTACGGTTACCACTACACCAAGGGTCTCCAGGAGAACGGCGTTTGCGCCATGGTCAAGCACTTTGCCGCCTTTGCTTCCCCGGAGCAGGGCGTCAACACTGCTCCCGTCCACGGCGGCCCGAGAGAGCTCCGCACCACCTACCTTCCCGCATTCAAGCGCGCCATATTTGATGCTGACGCCTGGAGTATCATGTCTTCGTACAACGCATACGACGGTGTCCCAACGATTGCGGACCACCACCTGCTGACCGAGATTCTGCGCGAGGAGTGGGGTTATGAGTACTACGTTATCGTAAGTTGTTAGCCCGTAACCGGGCGTCGATTTCGACTAACAGACCAGTCCGACGCTGGTGGTACCGCTCGTCTATCAAACGCCTTCTTTGTCTGTGGAGAGACTGATGATGCTTGCATCACTCTCAACGTACGTGGTACCTCTTTCCCCCCTTGGTGCCACAATTTCTCACCAAATAGGCCCTCCCCGCCGGTAACGATGTCGAGATGGGTGGTGGACGTTACAGCTTCCAGTACATCCCTGAGCTTGTTGCCAACGGCACTCTACCCCAGGATGTTGTCGATACTGCTGTTTCTCGTGTCCTCCGCGCCAAGTTCAAGTCGGGCATCTTCGAACACCCTTACACTGGCGTCCCCGAAGACGAGATATTCAACTACCTCAACACCGAGGAGCACCGAAAGATCGCCCGCGACCTCGATGCCGAGAGTATCATCCTGCTCGAAAACCACAACGAGACCCTTCCCCTGAAAAAGGATGCTCACGTTGCCGTTATCGGCCCCATGGCTCACGGCCTTGTCAACGTATGTTTTTTTGGTTCTACGGTTACCCTTCCGCACGCTAACAAAAACAGTACGGCGACTATGTCATTCACACCGCCATGGAGCGTGGTGTTACTCCTCTTGATGGCATCAAGGCCGCCAGCGAGGGCACCGTCACCTACGCCAAGGGCGCCGAGCGCTGGTCCAACGACGAGTCCGGCTTCCCCGAGGCCATCGCCGCTGCCGAGGCCGCCGACGTCGCCGTCGTCGTTGTCGGGACCTGGTCTCGTGACCAGGATGAGCTCTGGGCCGGTCTGAATGCCACCACCGGTGAGCACATTGACGTCCACGACTTCAAGCTCGTCGGCGCCATGGGCCGCCTTGTCAAGGCTGTCATCGACACCGGCAAGCCCACCGTCGTCATCTTCAGCTCCGGAAAGCCCATCACAGAACCCTGGATCTCTGACGAGGCCGGCGCCCTGGTCCAGATGTTCTACCAGGGTGAGGAGGGCGGCCACGCCCTGGCTGACGTCCTGTACGGCACTGTCAACCCTTCTGGCAAGCTCTCCGTCGCCTTCCCCTACGATGTCGGCACCACTCCTGTGTACTACGACTACCTCAACTCTGCCCGTGCCTACCCCAACCCAGGTAAAGAGTACCCCAACGGTACCTTGGTCTTTGGCAACAACTACGTCTTGTCGACTCCTCTTCCCTTGTACGAGGTAAGCAAACACATCCGCGCCCTTCCTCTTTCTCTTAGATGCTCTTCTCTAACAGAATCACAACTTCAGTTCGGCTACGGTCTGTCTTACAGCACCTTTGACTACCACGACATCAGCGTCTCCTCGTCGACCGTCTCCCCGACCGACACCGTCACGCTGAACGTGCAGGTGACCAATAACTCGACCCGCGACGGCGCTGAGGTCGTTCAAGTCTACGTCAAGGACTTGATCTCCTCAATCGTCGTCCCCAACAAGGAGCTGCGCGGCTTCTCCAAGGTCTTTATCAAGGCCGGCGAGACCGCCGACGTCTCTGTCGACCTGCCCGTCTCCTCCTGGGGTCTCTGGGACAAGAAGCTGCAGTACGTCGTTGAGCCCGGCGACTTTACCATCTTTGTCGGCTCCTCTAGCGATGACTTCCGCGGTAATGCGACCGTGACGGTTGTGTAAAGGGGTTGTATACTGGGTTGGGTTGGTTTGGTGTTAATGGAAGATTATCCCGAGGATTTTCTTGGTTCAAGCGCTTGACGGCATAAAACAACCTTGGTCAGCTTGACCTTTTTCTCCGTACATATTGTGTAATGTTTTGAATGAAAAGACGACATATGGAGTGGTTGATGAAAAGTCTCACTTGCCAACACATCGCCTGATAACAGTGGCGTAGAGCACTCGCTGAAAAGACACTTGACAGAGCGCCATACGATATGCCATGGAGGTGTTACTCTTACAGACCTAGTGACATTATAATTGAGGCTTGTCATGGGTTTTGAATCTTGTCCTTTCGTCTTGGTGCCCTTCCCCGAGGTGTTAGAGTCAATCTGAGGAAAGGCATTTGCAAAACTGCCCGAACAATATTGTACGTGATTTGAAAGAATAACACCATCATCGGAGGGTCAAAGTTTGATGAATGAGCGCAGACTTGTATTTCCTCCAGTTGATACTCAACTTAACAGCCATACCTAGTTTTGGAGTGGGCTGCACCTCAGATCACAGACTTAGTAAGTCTTTCTGACCGTCCATCTCCGAACTCACTCTACGCAGCACCAACTGAGTCTTCTCGCTATCATTCTTGTTCGCTTTCAACCTGCCACCCATAAAGGGATGGCTTCAAACTCAAACAGAGGTAGGAAGCTAGCGAAGCGTCCATGAGAGAGAAGGTTGAAAGAGGGGAGTATGAGATATCAAGGAAAGCAAAGGCATGTAAGACTACTTGAGATACTTCCACTTCAACTGAAATCCATCTATATGTAGGTGATCCGGCCCTCGGACCGAGCCTGAGCCCGTAGTGCTCAACATCTTGGGAGCAACGTAGGCACGCATCAAGGAAATTTGGATGGCTCGCCTACAGCAGGCAACTCTACTCTCTGAAAAGGCGGTTGTGTCTGCTTTCGGGGCATATATCACGACGTGCTTCCTCAATGAGAGGAGCCATACCGCGCGCCCCAAAGGAATTCAAGAGAAGAAAGACTCACACCATCTGGCTTGTTCATCAGAAATGAACCCCCCGTCAAGAGAAGGATGACTTTCTGCTCGATTTTTACTGCCTACCAACAATAGGCACGACAAATTCGGCAATCTTTCCCATGGGCAGCAGAAAACTATTTTGGAAGAAAGTACGCTTTGCGACTGGTCGTGTCTCCCAGATTCGGAAATCTCATCGCAACCATAGCCACCACTCTTTTCCTCTCTCTTCATCCGGAATCCTCCTTGTCTTTTCATACACGAAACCTAGTCGACAAAGAAAGAAAGAAAAAAGAATACGAACCCCAAGGAGATAGCGAGGGCACGTCTTCAGGCAAGTCTTGCCTGGAAAGGCCACACACACACACACACATACACACAACCCTCCCAACTAGAAATGACGGAATCCAACTTCCTCCCACAGCAAACCTTCTCTCCCTCCTCTCCTTTACAAGTCCATGCGGCCTCGAGACCTCCCGGTTCGAGTTTCTGTTTCGTTTCCTAGTCACTACTCCTTTTTATAGACGCCTCCTAAGCTGGTGAATGCTCGAAGCCCAGGCCTCTCTCTCGTCTTGTCAAAAACCCATCAAATCAGCACATCATCACACCACACCTGTCGGCCACACACACTTCGCTTTCGATCTCTGTGCTGTCACTCTACCTCGCCTGGAATGCAAGGGGGGTTACTGATCTCTGGCTCGAACGCCGGATGCAAATCTTCCTTTCACCGGGATGAGGGGGGCATGTTCTACGGGAAATTCTATACCGTTGCAATCGGCACGAGTGTGTCGTCGTAAGCCGCCCTCGTCCGCACGTCTTGTCTTTTGCATTGTGTGAATATTACCCTTCTCATTAAGATATTTGTCGTCTGTTTTGCTTCTTTGGGATATCACATCATATCTTTGCGGATAAGTTTGTGGTACGAACGGTTTCCGTGCTCATCGGGTGATCATCATACACGCGCCAAGACTCTGGTATTTGTAAAGCAGGCTCCCCCCCCCTTCTCTAACTTGATACACACACCCTTCCGCTAACTGCTCTTTCAACTTTTCCTCGTGGCGAATTGCTTCTCTCTCTGTTGATCGACTCAAAACCTCGGACCTCGAACCTCACTAGGGAGAAGGGGGGGTCCCCTTGATGGTCAAACCACACCCCGAACCGCCCGAAGGAGCCGAACAACAGATGCAGACAGACGCACGGTCTAGCACATACTCTGCTTCTTTTTGTTTTTCTTGCTTTCTTTTCTCCATCTTTCTCACAGACGGCATCGTTTCGCCCGTTCTGCTTCGGAGAAGGTAGGCATATTGGCGGAAAGAGTTGTGCACAATGCTGTATCGTGACTATGTTCACAGCTCCTTGGCAACCCTCGCCGTTTTTCTCTGGAACGCCTGCTTTATCCTTCCCAACTCGGTGGGAAGGGGGCAAAACAGAAGCATCTCATAGGCTTTCCAGAGGTTAATCTCAGGAATCGGTCACCGGTAACTAATTAGGATCTTTTGGAAGGAAAAAAAAAAGTGACGCCTGCCAAGAAAAGCCAATTTCACATTTCCCCTCCTTCTATCCTTTGTGCACAGCCTCTATCCGTACAATCCTCTTCCCCCAGGTCGTCTGACACTTCCCATCGTGCTTTTCGACCACTCGTCACGAGGCGACCACAAAAAAAATCTTGGCCATTTCATTAAGGATCAAAAAGGTTCAAGCCGCGGTGCATTCGGCCGCCGGCGTTTAGTCTGTGCCTCATGCAGGTAGGCACCTACGGTAAGGTAAAAGATGCAGAGGTATAATCAAGCGTGCATGAGAAGAGACAATAAGAAACAAGGAACCCAAAACCTGATCAAACTTCTAGAACCACCACCACTACTACTGCAACATCCATTACCATCATCGTCACTTAGCAAGTGGTCGCTGATCTTTGTGCGCCGCATGCTTCTGTAGTGCAGTCTGCAGCAACCTCAAACCGACCACTTTTCCCCATTCATCCGTCCGCATGTAAACCCTGCCTACAACTCCTCTTTCGTCTGGAGTTTTGCGCGCCCCCCCCCCCTCTCCAAGTGTCTGGGGTTCATATTAATAGCTACACCAGTGACACCATCCACCCCCCGCCTAAGCCTCCTCGACAACCCTACCATGTCCAAGATGCCTGCCTACCTTGCAACATCATCCAGGGCAGCTGAACCAAATGGTCACACAACCAACAGGAGAAAATCCTGTATTCCATCAAAGATTCATGAAGCATGTTCCCTGCAGTAGTCGCGCGGGAAGGCTCTGCAGACCTGCAAGCCATGCATCATCAATCCTCCCCCTCCCAGCCCTTACCTTTTAACAATGCAGTAATCCTCCGGCCCGTGTAATAACCTTACATAGAACATGGTTAAAATACAACAACCTAGGCCCCTCCCCCTTGAGCATTTTCTGATATCGTCAATATGCAGGGGCAGGCGGCACGTAGCGACTGAAAGTAACAGAGGACGTGTGAAATAAACTTGAAATGCAAAGAAGGAAATAAAAGCAAGGCTACTGTTTCCAGGCGAGCCATGCCTGACAGCTTCCGCGTCACGCTTTCCCTCCCCTCCCCTTCCCTTTAAACATGCATCATGGGGCCGTCCCTGACCTGACCACTTTTCTGAGTCTCTTGGTCTTTTCGATCATTACTGTTTCCGCTATCTGCTTCATTATGAAGCTGCTTAGGATCTTCTCCCGTCTCTCAATCTCGATCCTCCCTCCCTATCAACTGTTATTCATGCTACTCTATTTCAGACGCCAACAAGTTCGAGGACAAACGTCCAATCGAGCCCTGTTCGGCTACTTAATCCCTTTTATCTGCAAAATTTCTCTTCTTCAACGCCCCGATCGTTCTCACAGGAGTCGTGTGAATCGTCCCTGGTGGTATAACCGGAGACGGGTTTTGATCGGACCGTCGCGTCGTACAAATCCGCTTAGAAATCCACTTCACGTTCAGCATTGGGCAACAGACCAACATGCGTGAGCACAGTTCTGTGCACAAGTATAGTAAATATATCGTGGTATTTGATACAGTCTAGTAATGTCATGCTCAACCCGTCCTTTGAAAGCCCTATCATACAAGTGACCGTCTCCATGTCTTTTCTCGTAAGACTCGTAACTTTTGTATGCCCGTAAGTTATCATTAGTTTACACCTTGTACTGCTGATGTAATTTTCCCCCAAAAAGATTTCTACCAAACAATGTTGCCTGTTGCCAGTATGCACTTGCTGTGCGGTCCTATGTGCCAGGAAATTTGACACCGCACACCACATCACTACTATTGTACAAAATCCCTGGCTGCAAATTACACTGGAAATGGGGATAGCAAGAAAAACGAAGGTGATAGATTTGGTGAGAGTTGGGCTGTTTGTAGTGAGAAACCATCCGTCCCCTCATGACTTGTGAAACAAAATCCGGCGCAGCATTGAAATTGACGATAACAAGCGTTCATCTCTGCTATCAAAGTCCTTTGAAGATCGTAGCTCGTTGGCCGGAGTGAGCCTCGGAGTCCTGGCAGGCCGTAAGAACGGCTTGGCTGAATAGACTGGACTGGGTGTCGTATACCCTCGCGTGAGACTAGTCGAAGGGCGGGGAGGAAGTTTACACCAGGGGTTTGTCGGTAAAGGCTTAGGCAAAGATACCGACAATTGACATGCCCGCAGCTGAAAGTTTTGTTAGGTACCTTGAATTCCCACGAGATTTCTGTGAGTTTTACTAACCTCCAGCGAGGACGTAGCAAAAGGCCGTGATCTTTTGCTTATTGGAAAGAAGGCGGTTGGCCTCCTCGGAAAGGAAATCCTCAGCCAGCAGGTCGACAAGAGCAGCATAAAGCAGCAGGCCAGAGGATCTAAGTCAAATTAGCCAATGTTTAGTACGAATAGACCAAAGGACTCACATGGCGTTGAAGACACCGACGATGATGAGACCGAATGCACTTTCGGGATTGTAGGTGCTGCGAGTGAATAGCCCGATGGCTTGTCCGATGGGGGCGGTGGTGCCGAAAGCGACGACTAATACCCAGGGACGAATGCTGCCCTTGGGATACGGCACAGCTGCAATACGAGAACCAAGACCGAGACCCTCAAACATTTGGTGGAACAGAATGGCGACAAGGAGAATGACGAAGCCATCAATAGTGATGGAAACGGTCATGCCGACAAACACTGAGTGGAACAGAATACCACCTTCGAGCATGGTAATGTTGAGAGACATCTTGCGATACACAGCTGGGTCAACCTGTTGGCCCTCGGCGTCATAAAATGGATCTTCCTGCTTGACTTCCGCTACAGCAACCTGCGACGATGTCTGCTTCTCTTGGGTAGTTCGAATCATGTTCATCATCTCCATGCGCTGGCGCACATACTGCTCGTAGAAAACAACGAACCAAGGCGGCATGTTAGAGTCGGACAAGTTGGTATTGGCGGGAAGTGGGGCGTCATAAGTGCTCTCCGAGTGAGGCGCGGGAGAGCGTGACTTCTCGTCATCGTATGCGTGCTGTGCAACCCGCTTCTCGAAGTCAATGCTATCCGCTTCGGCGTCGAAGCTTTTGCTGCCGTATCGAGTTGACCCGCCAGGCTGGGAGGCACCATGACCGGGACCGTGGTCGTCCATCACATCACCGGTAGGTCCTCCGTGGGAATGGCCGCCAATCTTGGCGTTGATCCACATTTCAATACTGAACAGAATGAACATGGATCCCATCATGATGGCGCCCGGAAGAGGTGGGTAGTCGTCGGTGAAGAGATCTGGGAGGCAGGGGTTCATGAGGTTGCCAAACGCGGTGGGGAGTAGCTGTGCTGCGTCAGTTCTGTACAACTAGATGAACCGATTTCACCTACATGCACGAATGCCGTCGCGATGAGTACGCCCGTACCGAAATGCTTGCATGCGAAGAAGACCTTGGGAGGGACCTTCATCCACTTGACCTTCTTGGCCACCACAGGGAAACCAGCGCCTGTGCCACTCTAGTTAGTATGTTGATCCGCGATGAGACTCTTTTATTTGCTCGTTTCGCATACCAAAGATTGAAAAGGCCAAGACCAAAACTGTGACAAGTTAGCCAAATTGTTAAGAGCCAAAAGACCATGTCTTGGAATCAACCTACAAAGACCAGCAACGTGGAGGCCGACGTCATACTCGACTGGTTGTCCACCCTTCTTAGCGCCACACTCGGGTTTGGGCTCCTTCATTGCGTCCATCTTGATTAAAAAATCGGTACGTGTCCCGCAAAAAGGATTGCTGCTTGATTGGCAATCCTGAAATAAAAAAGAAGGAGGTTTGAGAAGGTGAAGGGCAGCCAAATGATCCGGGGCCGCCTACTGAGAAGCACTCATTCGTAAAGCGAAGGCAACCGAAAACAAGGGGACATGAGAAGCTGTCCCGCAGCTTCAGCTAGAGAACAGACGAAAGATGATCTACTCCCGGCTGTCGTAGTTTAGAGTGCAAGGGGGGAAAGGAGTGGACACGAAGAGAAAGGAAAAACGGAAGGAAGAAACGGGCGATAAAAGCATAGAACGACAACAGACGCTGTGATGATGGGCGAAAGGGAATCTTGGTCAAAGTCTGGGCTCAACTCGCTTTAATATGCTTTCTATGACAGCCCACGCAATGCAGCCCGTGTGAGGGCGGGTAGGGAAAGAATAAACGTTGACAGGGGACAGCGGTCCTTGTGCCACCCAGCTGATTTAGAAATAGAAGACGTTGCCAAGGATGAGGCAGCTGAGGTTGAGCCTTGGTGGGTTCGTGATGGGGGGAACGTGGCCTTAGCGTCCGCCTCGCGGGAAGCGGGAAGCGGGAGGACCTGAACGGGAACAAGGTTCACCGTGGGCAGAGACCGTGTGTATGGGGGCGAGGACGACGGCGGGGGCGGAAGGGTAGGCTAAGTCGACCGCAGTTGAGTCGAGCAACTTGCTGCGGTGCCTGAGACCCAGCTTGTCTCTAGCATCGATGATCCCGGCCGCTGTCCGGATCCGATGTTGTTTGCTATAGCATGATTTGCCGGTGGGAGTCGAGACGGGAAGTCTGAGAGCCCGGCTCGACCTGACGGATAAGAAACGACCTGTATGGGACTGGTGACGGGTTGGATGGCGTGAATGGTGCTCTGTGAGTCTGTAAGCCATGGCTGGTTGATCCAAACCTTTGTCACGGCTCGGCACAGCTTCATCTCTGTTGTGCATGGCAAGCAGGACTGATAATGGTCGATGATGGGCAATATCCTAAACGAGACGACAGTCGATCTTCCATCGGGTCGCTGCCAACCGCGAAGGGGTATTGACGTGGGGTGCGCGTCAAAATGGGGCGCCGGCATTTGGAAGAGTATCCGTAGGGAAGCGTGAAACGGGAGTCTCCCGGGGTCAGCCGCCAGGTTCAGCCGCCAGGGTTGCCAGTCGGAAAATTCTTAAGTCGATTTGACTCTAGTCTCTAGGAAGCTTCCCGGGTAACCCGCGAAGAAGCGCGGGGGGACGCTTGGTGGCGCGGAGAATGGGGAAACTTGGCGGGATAAGCACAAGCCGTCGAAAGCCAAGTGTGAAGCCAAGAGCACTGACACATTTGTCACCATTTCCCAAGGTAGCGGATGGTATTCTGTCGTTGATTTTGGCTTGGCTGCGATTGCTTGGCCGCGATCCTGCAGAGACGATTAGCCAAGCTTTCTTACTGACTTGCTGGCTTGCTGGTACGGCAGATGGGGGACTGACTGTAGGACCCATCTGTTCCTGGTCTGCATCTAGTCGGCTTCTGCTCCGCTTCTTCTTGCCGGGGCTTCTCTAGGTCTACTCCTCCAGTGTCTCACGTGCAGAGTTGCCTTTATCGGACACTCAGCTGAGGGTAAGTTTTGCCTAACATCCCGCAGCCACCGCGACAATCGCAGTCGGGGCTTAGTCGGAGGTTGATGTCCATAGTGGAAAATGAGAGGCGGAAGCGTGACGAATGACTCTGTATGGGCTCATGAGATGGGATGGAATGACATACTGGCACCGAGAAGTCGTCAACAGTCCCGCACTATGGGTTTCCAGGCAGGGCTGGTAAAACTTGGGGATGGCCTAGCAGCCCAGGGACCTGATGGAAAAGAGGAGCCCTCGGCGTCTGAGATGGACAAGACATGAGGGCAATCGAGAGACAGGAGGCAGGGCCGCGTGTCGTTGCTGTTGAGGATGATGGCAAGAAGGAAAACCTATAGCATCCGAGCCAAATTGGTCAGTTGAGCCGGCAAGAGTTGATGCTCAGTGGGTGTCATGGTGTGCAGCTGCGTAGATAATATGGGAGTGAGGTTGAAAGAGAGAAGTCGGAGACGAAGAGAAGCGGAGCCGGTGCGTCTTGGAGTCGGTCATTCTTGCTCCGGATTGAAACAAACATGCAGGTTGTTCCGAGCGCTCAGCTCTCGCCTTCCAAACTCTGTTCAAGTCTCGCAAGTCGTATCGAAGTCTCGCAAAGTCTGACAAAGCCTGAACAGGTCTCAAAAGTCTCGTGCCAGGCCTAGAGACAGCACCAAGCACCTTGCAAAGAGCCTTGGAACAGCCAGCCAACAGGTGGCTTTGGATTACCTTACGCTGCAGCTACTACTTGCCGTGCTTGCCCAAACTCTGTAACAGCCCCAAACTCTTGGCAGAAGGACTATCGCTTCCTGTCTCGGCGCACCCACGCGGCTCCTGGGTCCGCCGTCGTGCGTGAAACACGCCCCTGGCCAATCGGTGCTGCTCTGGCTCGGACCTTTCCCTGATCATCCTCATCCGCTACTTGCTTCTGTTGGTCAGTCTATGCATCACTCTGCTACTCTCTGGTTGCCGTCTTTCGTTGCTTTTCAGCTTATGGCAGGGTCATCTCTGTCATTTAGCCTTCGAGCTAGGCTCCAAATGACCTTTTGCCTTCTCGACTCGACCTGCCGACTGCGTTGCCCTCCCTCGCTTGCACTTGTAAGTCGAACCGGCACGAGTTGTCTCTAGCCAGGACCAGGAAGACGCAAATAGCTGCCCCCTGAACTACAAACCGCGTGCGCCATCATCATCACTTTACTGGCGGACCGGTGGAGTTGGAACCGCAGGGAAACGGGCGGGAAAGCCTCCTGGACACGCACCATTCTCCGTCATTGTCCAGGGTTTTATGTTTCTCCCCTCTCCAAATTCTACCCCATTCAAGATGTGCATTGAAGGCAGGGCTGCCCGCAGCGAGAGCTTACTCTTAATCGACGACACAAGGGGGTCGCTTCTGCAGCCTGGCTACCTCCCCCAGACTTTGCGGAGGCGGGCACGACAGGAGGGATCACGTAGGATGCCAACTGGCTCTTAAATATATGACTCTCAGTCTCAAATCGACTTCACTACTGTACTACCCTTCTACTTTCCCATTCAACGAGGAACCCACCCAGCTCACTCGTTCCCAAAAATGCAAACTGCACGCGAGTCTCAGGACGGCGTCCAACCATCATCTAGTACGTGGGTTTCGGCTCTGTCTGTTTTCATGGCCACACCCCTTCTCCCTTCCGCTATGCTCTGTTCACCTCACCTATCCTCCCAGTCTTCTGGCTGGTTCGTCACATCCTCGTAGAGATGTGCGACTGCTACTCGCATCGGATTTCCCTGCCACTGACCGCTTGACCACTGGCCACCACTTTGGCCATGGCTTCGTCCCACTTTCACATACGGCCAGTCCCCACTGACCATTGTGCTTCAGTCACCTCAGCTCGAAGCAACTCCGTCGGTCCTTCGGCTTCGGAGAGTAACTTGAAAGCCGAAGCGAACAAGGAACACAGTGAACGTCTAATGGACAACGCAGACATCATCTCACCGGTTCAGCCACTTGGCACAGACGACAAAGTTGTGACTGATGGCCTCTTCGTGTCGACTTCGAACGACACGGCCACGACCAACGAGAGCGATGTCGTCAGAACTTCCTCCAGGAGCAGCGGCGGCCCGTTCTCCAATGTCGACGCCACGGATGCTTCCACCGTCGACACCTACCGGCCGGACCCTTATGACTTTGGTCGACACCGGCGTAACAATGTCTCCAAGAAGCAGATGAAGATTGAGCATCCTAACGGCAATAAGAGAAAGCTGAAAAAGTTCTACAATCGACAGAATGAACTCATTGACCAGTTCCTCGGCGCCGAGGACGAGGAGAGGCAGCAGGTCGCCGAAGCCGCGCGAATGGGTCCCAAGATCAAGTTCGCCGTAAACGCCTCTTTCACGGTCAATTTCTGCCTCTTTGTCATTCAGCTCTACGCTGCCGTCTCCACTGGGTCTCTGTCGGTACATAGGCATCCCAGTCCCTAGACTCACGGATTTTGTTGACTCGAGAAATTTCCAGCTTTTTGCCACTGCCGCCGACGCATTCGTTAGTGGAACTCATTTTCCTCAGTGCGGCGTTTTTGTACAAGTTGACCAACAAATGCCCAGATGGACCTGGTATCATCCTTTGTGATGCTCATCACCTCTAGGATGGCGGCCCGGCCGAGCGTTTACAAGTATCCGGTGGTGAGTTACTCGCAGCACTCCCTCGGCAATTAGATGTCTCCGGGTGGTCTGACATGGGGCGACTCAAAATAAGGGACGAACTCGGATTGAGACGATTGGCATCATCTTGTTCTGCGCGTTAATGACAACTGTTGCAATTCAACTGCTTGTAAGTCATCGCCAAGTGACGTGTGTGACTTGGTCGTTCTGAGACGCTGATCTAGGGCAACAGGTCGAGTCAGGCCGCGCGCTTGGCGAGGGTAAGCGAGCTTCTGAACAACTGCACATCGTCCCCATTGTCATTGTCGGCGTAGCCATCTTCGCCAAGGCCTCCTTGATGATCTATTGCTTCGCTTATCGAAAGTTCCCTTCGGTGCATGTCTTCTTCGTATGTGGTCCACCCACCCCGCCCTCCGCCATCATTCGTCTGACGTACGCTAATCATCGCGTACAGATAGACCACCGCAATGACATATTCGTCAACAGCTTCGGTCTTGTCATGTCCGTTGTGGGAGACCGCTTTGTGTGGTACCTTGATCCCCTTGGTGCAATCTGCATTGCGCTGCTCATCCTGGTCTCCTGGGTATCCAACGCCTTTGAACAGGTCTGGTTGCTCGTTGGCAAATCAGCGCCGAGGGATTTTGTCTCGAAGCTGATCTACATGTCCATGACTCACGATACTCGGATTCTCAAAGTCGACACTGTAAGAACCCCCCCAATCTGCAAGAGTCTTTGAGAAAGCCATCTGACCGCGAGTAGTGCCGCGCTTATCACGCCGGGCAAAACTACTACGTGGAGATTGACATCGTCATGGACGAGACGACACCCCTCAGGATCTCGCACGACGTTGCTCAGGAATTGCAACGCAAGGTCGAAGGTAAGCACTTTTCGGTGTGAATCTGTTGGGGTGTGATTGCTGATTTCTTCTGACCGCCTAGGACTGTCTGACGTCGAAAGAGCGTTCGTCCATGTTGATTACAGCGAGGCCCACGATCCACACGAAGAGCATAAGCCCTTGTACGAGAGACTGTCAAAGAAGCCCAACAAGAGGACACTGAAGGACATCTTGTTGCGGACGAAGAAAGACACGACGAACGTCACAGAGATTGAAATTTCCAGCGGTCGAAACTCGGCATGGCAGAAGGGGAAAAGGGATGGACGATGAGGAGGGAAGGCCCGAGCAATAGAATAGACACGGAAAAGTTGAGGGAGAGTAGAAAAAATCAACCTGGCGTTTGGACTGTAGTACTGTATAATCAATTCTTCTAACCTTCCACGATGTCGTTGCAGACAAGATAATGCGCTGGCCATACTTGTTTCGACATGAGGGCCGCACAACGCAGGAACAGCGGGGAACGCTTCTCTGCAACGGTCACGGAGCTACAAAAAGATACCTATCGAATGGTCTAGTTTGATAGGCGGCTTTGGCGGCACATTACACCGAGATGGGGACGGCAGACGCTGCTCTCCGTAGAGAGATGGAAACGGCATTCCATGAAGAAAAAAAAGTAACATTATGTATGGCAACACGAAGCAAAGCTCGCAAGTGTTCACTGTTCATGCCAGGACAGACGCGTCGCGAGTTTCTGAAGTGCTTGCTTGCTCTTCTGTGACGGTGGTGGCGCTATCATGGAGAGTCCCAGAGCGAGGTGGTGTAAGTTATGCGGTGGCACTTGGCGGTCGTGGGGCGTAACGTTGACTTAAAACCTGGGCCGAGCCCTCTTCTTTTCTTTGATGATTTTCAAGTGAATTTGGACGACAAGACTTGGCGAATGAAGCGGCATGAGACGGCACAGCCAATCCATTTTTGACATGTCGTAGTCTTGCCCAGGTGTTGAAGGCTTTGCTACGCATCTTTCTGCTTGGCCCCAGTCTTGGCTTGGCAGAGGATTAGGGGACGGGACTAGACGACAGCAAGATCACAGAGAAGACCGTCATGTCGATTTGTGACTATTGCTTGCTGGTAGATTCCTACAGCGGTCATCAGGACAAGGATACGAGTTTCTTTATTCCGATTATTCATAAAATGAATGTGAATCAAGCCTCGTCGTTAAGCTGTGTAGGCAGGCAAGGTCATTATCAGCGAGAGTACTCTAGCATCTTCTAAGGAAGACCAAGTCTATGTCAAATGCTTCGCATTAATACCAGTAGTTCACAGTCAACTTAACACGACGGTTATCGAGGCACAGATAATTCAAATGATTTTGTCAAGGCTTTGAATTCCGGTATAGACGAATCACTCAATTTTTGTGTCAGAAGGTGTTCATGGTCCGAGAAGGGTTGACCTGTAAATTCTCGCTCGGCTCAGTAGCGAACTGCAAACATCCTTCACACGATCAAAAGCCTACCTAAGGCGGACAAGAAACCCATTCGAATTTGCGCGTAACGGGTTTTCTAAGAGAAGAAACCGACCAAACGCGCCTTACGGACCACGGGCAGCCCGGGAAACGATTTGAGTGGTGAAGATAGCAGGGCATGTTCAAACCCATCGTGTTAGGTAAAATTTTCAAAATTTCTAGGAATTATTGGAAGCTATCAGGGATCACAATTGCGGAGATGCGTCAGTTGGTCTTCCATAATACTCAACCATTGCCCTGTGACATGAGGGACGAACTGTGTTGGGAAATTATGCTTCGTCCAGAACCATACAAAATGAAACTTTGAGCAGAGACCTTCCGGGTGATGAACTTTATCTAAATCCATTGCATGACTGTCCTTCACGTGCCTACCGTCCTACGATGTCAAGATATCTAAGGTAGGTACGTCAGGACGGCCGCCCGGGTGGGGCCGTTTAACGGTCCCATTTGCGGCGTCAAATCGTAGCTTCCGGCTGTAACAAGACAGGCGCACCTGCTTACCTGCCTACCTTACCCAAGGTACTTAGAAACGGCATTGAATCCATAGGCATGCCTTTATTCTCACGTGTTTGAACCTTCTGCGGTACACAGGAAAGGGAGATGAAGGTGGACTTACCACACGCTACTGATTCCCACCATGAGGCAAGGCACCAGTCTACACAGAAAGGCTCGGGGTTCCCGGCGAATAAAACTTTCCAGCTCCTTCTTTGCTTCGATCCCCTCAGGAGCATTCTTGATGCTCTGGCTTATGTCTTGCCACAGTTGGATTACTCACCTCTTCACGTTGGGCCTCTTCCAAAACGACTTCCCCGCCAATAACATCAAGACGACATAAAGTAGTTTGGGACGTCAGGACAACAAAATTCTATGCACACATCCGAATAGCTTCATCGTCGAAAACAGGCTACCGCTTACTTTCATCTTCGAACTGGACCTCCAGACATGGCGGCCGGCGACCGTTGGTATTTAGTACCCCAACCAACCGACTTCACATTGGTGCTCGATCGAATCTACAGAAGAGGCATCAAATACTCGAGCTCGAACCTGTTGCGCCTCACCTTTGATGGATACTTCCGCATCTTATGCCTCTGGGATGGCGAGGAACGCTTCATTCGAGAAGAACCTGCCGAAAGTCAAAGTTTCAGAACCTGGCGCAAGAACAACCCCAATTGGGTCGAAGAGTTCCGCATGCGAGCTTGCAAAGCTGGCTACTGGAATCCAATTAGGAATGATCTCCGACATACCATATTCTACGACGGACAGTACTTCAAGCCTGTCAATGGAAATGAGGCCGCAGAGGCGTTTTCACGTAATCCCCAGCCTGACCACGCCAAACTGCATGCCACGCCCTCTTTGGAGTGGCCTTTGTGTCAGACTCCGTGGGTGCCACCCCTGGGACGCGATGTCCTCGTCAGCACCATCAACCCGCATCTTAATGACCCACCCCCTGATTTTGACCAGAAGGTTTAGGATACCTGTACAACGATCATTGACGTGGAAAATGCTTCCACTGCTCTTCAGCTTTTTGACGACATATATACCAATGTTTCCAGGTATTCCGGGGGGACTATCGACGATGGGCAAGCCCTATCGGCTGTTTGCCAGGCTTTCCGCAGCTTTCCCGACGCCGTAAGAGTCTTAAGGATAAGTTTGAATCCTCCGAACGCAGACCATGCCTACATCAGTGTCTTCTCATCTCGCCCTGGGGATACCGAGGAGGACAAAATCAGCTTTCTTTCCGGACCAGATCAAGCCCAGGCCCTACGATTCGACAGAAAAGCAACCATAGCGCAGCCTAAGGTATTACACTTGATTTACAGCTTCATCTGGACCTACATCCAAAACCGCAACGGTCGCAGCGGCCGCAGCGGCTGCAGTCTGGCCTTCATTCTTCAAGTTCTTCATGTGAACTACATTCCATGTTATGATATGACCAGTGACGACTCCTTTCTTCGGTCCGAATTTTATCTTCCGGAAACGAATTAGATTCACGGAATTGAGAAGATGAAGCAGCGCGCAAGTGAAGACGACGTTGACCGCCTTGAGGTCGTTTTGGAGTGGTTTCTTGGGCAGCCCTTGGGTTGGCTGAATTTTAACCTACTCGAGGAGGCCGTTATCATAGAAAAGATAGAGCTGAGAAGAAAGGAGGCTGCTGAAACCCGTTGATGCCGAGACAGAGAATATTTCTTGCTTGCGTTACTACCATTGTATATGTACCTGACTTACCTGACTTAGACGAAGTATTAAGCCTACGGACAAGAAGCAGTTTAAGAAGTAGCGAGTTTTGTCTGGTCTGCTTGCGTGAATTTTCTGGGTACTTACATGCTGGTCTCTGATGAGCAAGGACTAGACTAAGCCAACCCGTTATAGGGTGGGACGCAGTCCCAGAAGACAACGTTTCCCAGGCGGATCGTCGGTATCGAGGCGACGGCGCCGAGACAAAGGAGGGGGTGCTTCTTGGGCGAGGGTTCCTGGCCTATGCTCCTTGCCTGCTCCATTGAAAGCGGAAGTTTTGTCCATGGTACGATCGGAACATAAAGCAGCCCTCAACACTGTTGACCATGTTAGAGTTCGCTCTCAGCCAAGAGATTGTGCGTATCCTATTTGACCTGCAAGATGTCGGTGTAACACTTCCGGTGTTTAGTATCTTCCCAGCGCTCGAGGGAGCAGTCATCCGGGGGCGATCCCATGTTGAAACCATATATCGTGCGGTTTGAAGAGTATGCGTTAGTTCTACACTTGAAGGGTTGACTATGTAAAGCCCTGCTTACTGTTCTAATGCGCAGGCTATCGCAGCACGTAACCGGTTGAGTCGACACGAAGTGGTCGTCGGCTGTCTTCGTCTAGACTTTGTTGAGGGCGTTCTGCATCAGCATGTTCTTATTAGCCGTCGCTTTGATTTAGGCATGAATCCGGTACAGTTCCCAGGCTTGCATGTTCGTGGTGCCAGCAGGGAACCCCAACGTAGCGTAGAGCAGGAGGATCTCATGTCTTGCGAAGAGGTTTGCCTGTGAGAACGGAGATGTGGAATGGGACTAACCCACCCGCGGCCTCGCCATCTATATATTCTTTGGCCCACAGCATTTCGCCCTTGAGATTGAGCACGCTCTGATCAGGCACTTGGCCCTTGAACCACCTGGTCGCTGGTCTCCTAACTGATTTTCAAACTGAACACTCAACTGTGGCTTTGTATTTTTCGGAAGGGGTGAGTTAGGTTAGTCAGCACATATAGAAAGAGAAGTGTTTCTCTAAAACAGCAGCAATTCAATACTCGACCTTGCGAGGTTCGAGAGCCTATGAAACGTCACCATTGTGTATTTCTAGCGGTCTGATACCGCTCAGCTATTACGAGTGGGATTTCTTCGGTGGTCGATATATGTAGGCACCTAGCAAGCTTTTGTCGCAACTAAACCAATCCCTCAGATTCCAACATGTTTACCGCCTGTTTTGGAACATCTCATGGATTCAAAATCATCATTGCCACCCTTTGCATAGCGTATTCATGCTTGGGTAAACTTCAATCATGGGGTATCATTGCAATTCCATTCTTAACTCAGCCACTTCTCAGCCTTGTTGGGTATCAATCTCCTAAGCACATCAATCTGCCGCGCCTGCGCCTTGTGTCTCAGGTCGGCAACTCCCCGCCTATCGGTCCGTCGTTGCCCATTCGAGTAAACCACTGTAAAATCGGGGATCTTTTCACCAGGCTTGATGACAGTCAAAGGCGAGATTGTGCAGTTCTGCAGCAATTAGCACATCAGCTCGTCTGAGGGAAAGACAGTGCTTACCTTGCCAATGACAGCACCATTTCCGATCCGAGATCGGACCCCAACCACCGTGTCTGTTCCAATTTCTGTGCCTCCAGCTTCAATGATGGCGCCAACCTCTACCGTCACGTAATCTCCTAGCGAAATGCCTCCGCTGGCGTCGTCATTTCCAATTACGCCGATATGGGCCCGCTCGTGGATGATGCACCTCCGACCGATGAGGATGCTGCCGTTCGTGGTCTCAAGCTTAGATCGCGGATGCAATACACTTTCTGACTGGATCGTAATCGAGTGTGTTCCGACGAGAATGGCGCTGTCGGCAACGGTGAGAGAAGACGAGAAGCTGACTGGAGGTCGTGGGCCTTGGTTGGAGACGGCGGGCAACATAGAATGCCGCTTGTTAGACGACATTTTGGCACGTGTCCTGGATCGCTCCGACCCAATGTAAGCTCTAGCCAAAAGATATGAGGCGCATTATTGGTGACGCCTGCAACGAAGTCACGGCTCAAATGGGAGGCCGAAATGCGACGCGCAGTTGTGTTAGTGATGGGGCAGCTTGCCGTGGGGCAGTAATTAGAGTCCGATGTCGATTCTCTGGAGCTGCCCCAGCGCATAACCCCGGTTGATGCATCCGCGCTTCCACGTGACCTTCATGATGACTAAATGACCCGCATTGGCCAATCAACGCCAGTTGGAAATAAGCATCATCGATTTGGTGCAACAGAGCTGTGTTCCACGACTGCGAATTCCTCCGATCGACAACCTCAATCCACCACCAAACCCCTCAAACGCCCACGATGGCCACTCCACGGCGGTTGCCCGCGCAGGCCGCTCAGGCTGCGCGAAACTTTGCGACAGTTCGAACCTACGGCGGACTCAAGGATCAGGACCGTATTTTCCAGAACCTTTACGGCCGGTTGCCCCCGACGCTGGCTTCCGCGAAGAAGTTGGGCGATTGGCACAAGACAAAGGAGATCATTCTAAAGGGACACGACTGGATTATCAACGAAGTCAAGACCTCTGGTCTCCGTGGACGTGGAGGTGCTGGATTCCCATCAGGACTGAAATGGGTAGGTTGCCACCTTGCGATTTTGCTGGATTATTGCCGCGGCAATCAAGGGAAGGAACGGAACAACAGGCTAACGCGATGGCAACCGCACAGTCGTTCATGAACTTCAAGGACTGGGATAAGGATGACAAGCCGAGATACTTGGTCGTCAACGCCGATGAGGGTGAGCCCGGAACCTGCAAGGACCGCGAGATTATGCGAAAGGACCCCCACAAGCTCATCGAGGGCTGCCTCGTCGCCGGCAGAGCGATGAACGCCACCGCTGCCTACATTTACATCCGCGGCGAATTCATTCACGAAGCTGCCGTTCTCCAGAACGCCATCAACGAGGCATACAAGGATGGTCTGATTGGCAAGAACGCCTGCAACTCCGGATACGATTTCGATGTCTTCATTCACCGCGGTGCCGGTGCCTACGTCTGCGGTGAGGAGACCTCCCTCATCGAGTCACTCGAGGGCAAGCCCGGAAAGCCCCGTCTCAAGCCTCCTTTCCCCGCCGCCGTCGGTCTTTTCGGATGTCCTTCCACTGTCGCCAACGTCGAGACTATCGCTGTCGCCCCCACGATTTGCAGACGCGGTGGCAGCTGGTTCGCCGGCTTTGGCCGTGAGCGTAACCAGGGCACCAAGCTCTTCTGTATTTCCGGTCACGTCAACAACCCCGTCACCGTCGAGGAGGAGATGTCGATACCCCTGCGTGAGCTTATTGACAAGCACTGCGGCGGTGTCCGTGGCGGCTGGGACAACCTTCTGGGTGTTATTCCCGGTGGCTCTTCCACCCCTATCCTTCCCAAGAGTGTCTGCGACAACCAACTTATGGATTTTGACGGTCTCAAGGACGCCCAGTCCGGTCTCGGTACCGCCGCTGTCATTGTCATGGACAAGAGCACCGACGTTGTCCGCGCCATCAGCCGTCTCTCACACTTCTATGCACACGAATCCTGCGGTCAATGCACGCCTTGCAGAGAGGGCAGCAAGTGGACCGATCAGATTTTGAAGCGTTTCGAGAAGGGTCAAGGTCGGCCACGCGAGATCGACATGCTTCAGGAGCTCACGAAGCAAATCGAGGGTCACTCTATTTGCGGTAAGTATTCGTCCTTGGCGTCAACGGCTCCCATGCTAATTTGTTTCGTCCAGCTCTTGGTGACGCTTTCGCTTGGCCCATCCAGGGTCTTATTAAACATTTCCGCCCCGAGCTTGAGAAGAGAATGGAGGAGTACGCCGCCCAGAACGGTGGTGCTCACGCTCTGGGTGGTGGTTGGGGACCGAATGCCCGGGCTCAGGGTAAGCTGGTTTCGCCGGGACAGTAAAAGGCTGGATTTTTTGCATGCTTGTAGACTGGCGCCCGAGGGCTTGTATATATTAGTATCGTACATTAGCAGAGCCCTAAATGCGCTGGAGTTCATTTGTTCACGACTATCCAACATTTCCAGAACGCACTGCGCAGGTGGTATCGTAACGATCTCAGGTGGGAGCCTTAAAACGGCTACGGATTGTCGTGTCGGTCAATTGGCAAATCCACGAGCATCAGAACGTGTTCGATCATCTTAAGTAAGGCATGCAAATCTATGAATCACCCACGCCGATTCTTCAAGCCTCCCGATCGGCGTTAAGCCCACGGCTTTCGTCCAATGAGGTCACTGTATTTCTCATCTCTTTATGCAGCAAGCAGCCAGGGTCTTTCGGCCCACACATCCGGGCAGCTCGGACTCGGCTGGACCCGGTCAAAGAACCTCCGAAGACGGTGGAGTTTCTCTGCCACGGTCACCGACCGATCCTTGACCGCCGTCTGCCACGTCAACCTCAGCCGATTGAAGGTTAATTTGCGGTTTTCTTGACATTGGTGAGAAATTCTTTCTGAAATTGGACTACTTCGATTCACTGTTTTGGTCCGTCTCTGGCGAGCAAAGATCGCCAAGATGACTTCATTCACTTTTGACCAATTCGTTGCCTTCGGGTCCGACAGTGGTGAGTAACTCATCCTCGCCGCATCAGATTCCTCACATATTGCACGTCTGGATCATCAAACTCGATGTATCTTTGCTTTCCGACTCTGTCAATCCGCCTCGATCATACCTCTCATTTTAGCTCCCTTCGATCCACGCACAGCTCCCTCTCACTATGAAACTGACACAACCCAAGCTGGTCTCGAACGAATTCTTCGCGGTCTCCAAGCCCTTACCGCAATCTTTTCAGCATACCCTTCCCTCGTGGCCCTCGCCCTGCTGGACGCAGATCCGCCAATCCTAGAAGCTCTGGGCCCATTAAGAGGCCACCTCACCCTAACGCGCCGCTTCATCCGCTTCTTCTGGTTCCTCAACTCCTTTGGCACGTCCTATAACCTCTACACCTCCATCTCCTCGTCGCCATCATCTTCAGGGGACGGATCTGCAAAAAGGAGCAGCAGGGGTGCGGGCCTAGAGACCTGGCTCGACATTATCAAGTTCACGCTCCTCGGCCTCTACGGCGGCCTCGAGTCTCTCACCCTCCCGGACCTCTTGGGTGTCCCGCAGATTGCTTACTTTGGCGCGGAGCGCACTCGGTCGCTCAACGTCGAGGCGCAGCGGTTCTGGTTCTTGGCATTGGTCTTTGGCGTGTTTGCGAACCTGACGCGCATACTCAAGGCTTTTGCGTACGCGCCGGTGCCGCAGCACGGCCACGGTTACGGCACGGGCGAGAAGCCGGTGGAGGAGAAGTCCACCGTTGAAGGGGATGTGGGAAAGGAAGCCGCCGCCGCTGCCGCTGTCGTTACCGGTGAGAAGGTGGGGGGAGAAGATGACGGTGAAGAAAAGCTTGATTGGGAGGCTGAGCGTGCTCGTCTCAGGGCTATTGTCATGAAGAGGCGGGAAGGCAGGAAGCGGTGGAGGAGGGAGGTCGCGTTCAAGATCAAGAGCCTTGGGCGCAAGATCATTTCCGACTTGCTGGATTGCCTCATTCCGGGCGGGATCCTGGGCTGGGTCAATATCCAGCCGGGGACTGGTGGGATTGTCATGCTCATCACTTCCGTCATGACCAGCAGAGACATTTGGGAGAGATGCGGTGCTACTGTTAGAGAAAAAAGGAGTTCTTGAAAGAATCGCCAGGCACAGCTGATGGGAATTTTGGATGATTTTTCTCATGGCTTACAAGGCGTACGCAAAAGATGCAATGATTGAGTTGCCCCTGCTATAGGTCTTACAAGCAGATTGATATAGAGTTAGAGACGGACATAGGATTACGTCCTGCATGGTGCCAAATTCAAAAGCTGAACCGCACTCTTCGTAAAAACTCCGAAACAGTCTTTGTTCATAGTGTCATCGTTTGTATCATATCCTTCTCCCTTCCTTGTGCCACCCGGGGGGAAGTAGGCAAATCAAGGGCGCCTACCACTGCCGACGCATATCAAGACTTTGGCACTCCAAAAAAACCATGGTAAAAGTCCGAGGTGACGAGACTGTTGTTCCTCAATTTAAGCTCCTCGTACCTACTTTATGGCATTTGCCGTTTACTCGGAAGAAATAGACATGGGGGCATGTCTCTGCTCCGGAGCTTGGGGAAGTCGAATGCGGTACTTGTGCAAGCCAAGGTCGTCCTCGTCGTCCTCGTCCCACAAGACCTGGACCTTGGCACGCCTCAAGATTGAGAACTGCTGGGCGATTGCAATAACGGCCTCCAAAACACTAATTTCCTTTTCAGCGACCAGTACAGAGAAAAAGACATCGGGCGCGAGTTTGAAAATGCAACTTACCCTAAGACGATGGCAACAACCGCGATGCCAACATGGCCCTCATAAAGCCAACAGTAAGGGTCGCCAGCGGCAATGACACCCGACGTGAAAGAAGAAGCGGCAAAGGTGATGTCGAGAGCAGTGTAAACCCAGCTCAGCGCCTTCCTCTTCTTCTTATCGTCATGGAACCAGCTGAGAATGCCACCGGTGCTTTCTTCGTCGTCGTCACCACCCCATCCACGGCGGCCAAAGATGCATTTAACGCATCCGAGGTCGATAATCACGGGCTTGTTCCGGATGTTCGGACGGTGCCTGCCCTGCACCAATAGCGCAATGGTGAGCCATAGGAGCTGCAGGATGGCCAGGGAGATGAAGAGCTTGGCGAGGCCATCGTAGCGCCTTCTACCGTCACACTCGAGGAAGACCAGTGTGAGACTGAGAGCGACGGCGATGAACCGCAGAAGAGCGACGGTGCTGATGATGAACTTTAGAAACACTGGAGATGAGCCATTGTGAGATGAGGTGGACGAGTGTTGAGAAGGAGGGGTCAAGGATCGGAAGATGACGCTGGGGTTCAACGGTCTGTTTTCCGGTAAGGAGGACATGGTTTTGAGTGTCCCTAGGAACTTGGTCGAGGGCAGGTCGTATTTTATATCGTATGAAGGGTAAGTGTTGTCTCTGTATGACAGTGCTTGTTGGCTGTCTGGCTTATCTGAGTAGACAGGCATCGAGAGTCATCCGGTGGCGGGTGGTGAGGGAGAGGTTATTATATACGAGACTGAGTCGTGCCCCATCTCATGGATGGAAAGGCAGCTGGACAATGTAGTGTATAGTGCAAACTGATAGAGGTACTGTTTTTTTTGGGCTCGTTGTTGGTTTCAAGGGCAGAGAAGACCAGATCATATCAGACCACACAGACAGACCCATTCCCGAGAGAAAGATGGAGGACATCCGTCAACGTGAGTCCGCCTTTGGATTTCACGCGACCCTGCCAGCCTGCTTCGCTCCCATCCCTTTGGTCGATAGGCATTCCCAATTTACCCACTCCTCCTCAATGGCGACAGAGGGTCCCATGGTCCCGAGAGCCGCGGACGCGCCCCCCGGCTTCGCCAAGCGGGATCTCCAAGTGCTCATCCATTGACATTGTCCAGAATTCGGGTGCCTAGAGGTCCACTTGGACACACACACCAACATCAAACCCCCCGCTTGGGGGGGAGAGGGGCAGCGCCCGACACGTAATTGGTCGGCGACGGACTGGTGCGAAGACGCCTGTCTCAGTGAATTCCGGTGTTTGGTGTCTGATTGAGACTTTGATGTGCTTACGGTTACGGTGGTGATCGTCGCGAACTTATCAAAGTCCCGTCCTAGTCATCTTGGTTGCTGAGGTACGCTTAGGCCGGTGGCTTGCTGGAGGAACATGGCAACGATTGAACCAGGCTCAGTCAAGTCTCATCTGGCCATGATTCGAATTCATGGGAGAACCTTTGATATGCTGCTGTGAGGCTGATTAGTGTGCAATCGTGTTGGTATTTCGTTGGATTACTTGAACATCATTTCTACGCCTCATCTACCTATTCTCAATATTGTGGTACTTAAATCGTCTACACTGCAGACGCATTGGGGGTTACTCCGCCAGCTGCTTCCATAGGTAGCCATCGAATAGTACAATTTGGCTCAGAATGATATCTCAAGGCTTCTATTTTCTTGTTGGTGAATTGCCAAAGGTATATCTCGCAGGTCGCCTCCGACCCGAACCGTCCAATGCTATTCTCTCTTTGAACGCCCAATTTATTGTACTATCCAAATGTGCTGTCATTTCAACGAGGATGCTCCACCACTTGGGCTTCGAACACTCCAGTTCCGGGCGACGGCCATGCAAGTTCCAGGGCAGTTAATGCTGGTGCCTGATCGGAAGCATCCGGGGTTCTCGAAGCCGGTACCAGACTTGCAAAGTTGAGGCAAGCAAGCGACATTCCTCCTAACAACAACAAGCACCTCGTCAGTCTGGCCGAATTACCGTCGGCCTGTCACACGATAACTCCCAGTTTCGATCGATACTTTCCACCCGTCGTTGACGAGGGCGGCAATAACACCCTGTCTCAGTCGCGATACGCCTCCAGCGCTATGGAGGCCACGGCCTGTCACAATCGTGAAGCCTTCAACCGCTTTCCTTGCTCGGTACTCGCCCAGGCCATTCCACCAGTCCCAGACGCGCTCGCGAGTAATTCTGACGCCGTCCGCGACCTCAACGCCGTGGAGATCGATTGCGTTTCCCGAACTGGTGCTGGACACGTGTATATCGGCCGCAACACTCTTTGCCTTGGCGAAGCTGCGTGCCTCCTCACGTCCCCGATCTGCATAATATCCTGCTGCCTGTCTGTACAAATGTCCCTTTTTGTACACTTGGCCAGCGGTGGTGTAAGAGTGGTTGCTGGCCTCACGGTAGACACCAGCTGTGTCCATGGCCTGCTGGTAAGTGCGGGGTGCAGACAGAGGATTGGTAAGGAGAATCGGGCTACTGAGAGGGCGCCCCGTCGGCGACATGAGTGACATCTTTGGCGAGGCCACCTTTTGCCAGCCATCAGACGATCCCTCCAACTCTTCGCTTGCGAGAGGCACGAGCTTGTAGTTGATATCCAGGCGTTTGGCAGGCAACTTGCCGAAGTACCGATTCAGCAATGCGGCAACCTCCTCAGTCCACTGATGATCACTGCGTGTGACTTCATTTAGGGGAGATAGGTACTGCTCGGGGATGTACCGATATTGCTTCTTCAGGTCTTGAATGTACTGCTTTCGGTTCCCATCTTCGCCAGTCCAGGCGCCGACACCTTGCTTGACAAAACGGTCGAGGAACTCTATGATGGTGAGTTCCATAGAACCTTGACGTGCATCGAAGACGTCCGAGACCTCATCGAATGGCAGATCGAGCTTCTCTACGATAAAGAGAATCTTCTCAACTCCTAAATGATGTCAATTGCGTCCTCCCTCGGTATAAATGCTTTACTTACGCTCATTTTCATCGTTTACAGGGGAAATTTCATTGATGCTGCTCGAGCTAGACGACAGATCTGTACGCAGGCCTTTCCGTTTCTTTCCTTTGCCTTTCCTTTTCCCAGAAGGCTTCTGAGGCAGCTCTGAATGCATGAAGCCATCGATTCCCTTTGGCCTTTCGCCGATGGACTCGAGATACTGAATGTTCAACAAGGTCTCCAGGGCGGCCTGGAAGTCGCCCTTGGCTTTCTTGAGTGCGAAGCTCACATCATGCGGCCTCAAGTCCAAAAACATATCCTGCAGCTGCAAGAGTTTTTCCTGATCCGAGTCACCGTCAAACGATGCTATGCGTGGGACATCATAATCCGGTTCAGACGGGGGCGGGCTCGTCAGTCTGGTCCCAGAGGAATCGGAGTCCCGCAGCTGGAGCCCTTCCGAAACCGTTGAGCTGTCTCGCGCGTCGGCTCCCCCATCAACGGAGCTGATGGTGTCCGGAACGCCGCTGGCATTGAATCCACTCGCCTCTTCGACAAGAACATTCTGGGCTATGCTCTGCAGCATCCCGCGAACTTCGGCGAGCTGACCTGCATCTTTGAGATCTATTTCGCTTGCGATCGCGATCACGACAGTAGGATCTAGCAGGGGAAACTCCGCCTGCGTATACCTCGTTAGCTTGCACCTGGAACCCGACGAATGACCTCGGTTCATGATGTACTCCAGTTGTCTCATCATCTCCCGAGAATGATGCGTGACGTCCTGTTGAATAACCAAGGAAAATTTAAAAGTGCTATCGGGCGAAGAGTAACTCACCACGAGGTCATCTAGAGTTGGTGTAGCCATTGATCAAATTGAAACTTCAGGGTTCGAGATATCGTTGTGAAATAGTCCAAAGCTCACTAGTCATACTGGAAGAAAAAGCGGCACAAAGGTCTTTCGCTCCTGAATCTCTTGTCGTGAAAACAACCGGTGAGCAAGCCGATCGAGGGCCAAGTATATCAGCCAAGCAAGAACAGTGCAAGCACCAAAGATTTTTTTTTTCTCGTAGCGACAGTCGAATACACGGGTAGCCGCGCAGCAAACGAAGCAGCAGCCGACACTACGGTAAGGTAGTGATGACGCAGGCAGGGCTGGTTTTGTTGACGGTTGTTGGTTTCTGCAAAGGAGAGTCTCTGGCGCTAAAGTGCTCAAATGCACGACCTAAAGAGTGCTCGATGAATCATGTGGTTGCCAGACTTAATGTGCGCGAGTCACCGTCCAGGTCTTGTCAAATAGCCAATTAATGACTCCGATCATGTCTGTCATCTGCCAGGTCAGGTTGGACCGCGCCTCATGTAGAAAACACGGTTGCTGTCGTCCATGACCGGAATGTGGCTTTGCGGCTGAGGTCATTCCATGGCACGTGTGGAGAGGAGATGTGGCTGATTTGTGGCGGGAGAAGTCCGAAGTGAAAAGGTAGGGTCATGTGGCTGATGCGGAAACAGTCAGATAGCTACGTACCTTTGCTCCCGTACATTGTAAGTTACCTTACCTAGGTACTTAGGAAGGTACCCCACTTTCTTCGGACATTTGGTTCAGCGAATATCCTCGATACGTGCCCTCACAGATGACTTCATCACCTTCAAATCGTGGCACGACATTATTATTAGCAGCCCGTCCTTGGAATAAGCACGACCTGATTAGCGGTTTCTTTCTCGAGGCCAGATCGCTGCAAATCTCATCAATGACGGGAATTGCATCAACGGGGTCCGGTTCGCTCCGGCTTGACTAGTCTCCAGGAACGGAACTCCGCGGAACAACAGGATGCTCCATATCTGCGTGAATCAAGTTAGCGGCCCATGTATTACTCGGGGCCTCTGGCACCAGGAGGTGGGAAGTGGGATGCGATGCTCCATCCTTGTTTCACTGCTCGCGTGGTTGACTGAGGCGCCTCTCACGTTGCCGCATGAAAACCTGCTGATGTGCACTAGCTGTGTACCTCTATCTAGACGGCATAGGAAGGTGGTGCTGCCCTACATTCGTCAGTCAAATACCGAAACAGGAACAAGCTCAGTCATGTCGCTGCTTCATCTCGTTATTTCCGTCAACTTTGCCTAAGATAACTCACCTGCATGAGCACCGGAGTATAAGCACTCATCTCACCTTGTCCGCATTCGTCCAAGGCAAGGCAAGGCAGGGTTGCGTGGTCAAAGACAGGGATGAACTACATCGGCCGACCGAGGATCCCGACGGCCAGCATCGAGAAGAAAAGACGCCCAGCCTCGCGACGACTGGCAATGTGACAGAACAAGCTTTAATGATCAAAGAAGAAAATCCCTATTTGTCCGGTATTGCTGGCGATCAAAAGCAGCGAGAGCGTCTGTTGCTTGTTGCGAGGCAAGAGAAACCTCAAAAAATCTCTACACAAGCGACCCCTACTGCTTGACAGAGTTCTTACCTTTCCGGCTGCTGCGGCGTGGTTCGTGGGCTTGAATGGCCTAGGCGCACATTTGTTGCATGGTCGTGCCCGGTGTTTCCATACGAGGGAGGCCCTGGCGTCTCTGCACCCCAGCGCATCAACCTTACTTTGTGTTTCCGACACAAACTCGACACAAACTCGACACAAATCTATATAAGCTTGTCCCGGACTCCCCGTCCGACGCTTGCTAACAAACCATGCCATCCTCAACGGCTTCTACCCATCCTGATATTGGGCCTAAAGTCGACTTGGAACCGACATTTGAAACCGAGACCGGACCTGCTTCCGACTCAACGGTCCGCACCGTCCACCGGCGGCCCAATATGAGTTCCGAAACCCGCAAGAAGTTTATCAACTACCCGCTCCCAATTCCCGGGTAAGTTGCTCTGTCCTGGGTAGGGCTGAGTTGTCCTGGGCCACTGGTTCATTCACGATGCGCATACCGCCTCAACAAGCATACTTCGGGACATTGAGTTTGCTACCGCAGATTGTTGACTGACATCATTAGACCGCCAATCCCATACAAGAATGGCAGGAAGAGCAATCCGCCTCTCAGAGGTTGGCTCCTGGTGATAGCCGCTTGGCTGTAAGTTATTTGACTCGGCCAACTCTTCTCTTGTTGTCTCTTGCCATTACTTACACCCAGCAGCATGGAATGCTTGTGGTTTGTTAGGTCGTTCATCTGGAGCAACGCGGGCTTTGGAAGCATCAGGCAGATTCGCAAGCACATTGAAGATGCTGAACCTCGATATGACCCAACCGTTCTGCCGCTGCCAATGGACGAAGCAAAAGACCCGGCGGTTCTCCACCGCGAAAGCGCAGTCAAGGCGAAATCGCACCCCTTGAAGTACTACTCCGTCAACGATTATCATGAGATGTACCTTTCGGGTGTTGTCACGCCACTCGCGGTGGCCCGCGCTATCCTACCCTTGATTCGGCGCGATACGAACCCACCCGGGGAGCACTCAATTGCGTGGTTCGACACGAAAGTCTCCCAGGTTTTGGCTGCTGCCGAGGCTTCTACTAAGAGGTACAAGGAGGGGCGGTCTCTAGGTCCTTTAGACGGTGTGCCGACGGCGGTCAAAGACGAATACGAGATTGACGGATACCGAACTTGCCTTGGTTCCAGGAACGATTATACGACCCCAGCTGCGCCGGGCCAGTCGATTACCAGCTGGTGTGTCAAGAAGCTGGAAGATGCTGGTGCTGTCGTGCTTGGAAAGCTGTCTATGCACGAGTTTGGACTTGGTGAGTCTCTTGGACACGAGGCAACTGGGAAGACTAAAGCTGACATGGTGCAGATACGACTGGAAACAATCCCATTTACGGAACACCACGAAACCCCTACAATCATGGCTACTACACTGGTGGTAGCTCATCAGGGGCTGGTTATGCGGTTGCAACAGGACTGGTGCCTGTGGCTCTCGGTAGCGACGGTGGCGGCAGCATTCGCATCCCTTCTTCCATGTGCGGCGTTTATGGTCTGAAGCCCACTCATGGTCGCATCTCTTTCCACCCTTGCCCAAATCACAGCAACAGCTGCGCCGTCAACGGCCCCATTGCCGCGGACATTGAGTCTCTCGCGACCTACTTTGAAACTATCGGTGCACCGCACCCCGATTCTCAGTTCATCCAGGCATCGCCCTTTATCCTGTCACCCAGCGAGAAGCGCGGAAAGGTTCTTGGTATTCCCGAGGCGTGGTTTGCACAGGCGGACCCGGCTATCCAGCGCATGTGCCGGAACATAATCGCGAAGCTCGTAACGCACCATGGATACGTCACCGTCCCCATCGACATCCCTTTCCTGGTCGAGGGCCAGTTCGCGCACGCCATGACAGTCCTCACCGATGGCGCAGCTCTGCTACCAGAAACTAAGAACCTGACGCACGCGAACCGCATCCTCCTGGCCATTGGACGCGTCACGTCCGCCATGGACTATCTCCTGGCACAGAAGCTCCGCGGCCTTCTCATGCAACACCTCGCGCACCTCTGGCGCACGCACCCGGGCATGATCATCGTCACGCCCACGACTTCCTGCGCGGGCTGGCCCATCATGAATGAGGGCGAGATGTCATACGGCGTCAGCGACGGGGACCGCACCATCAGGTCCATGGAATACGTCTGGATGGGCAACTTTTGCGGGCTTCCCGGCGTTACGGTGCCAGCGGGATACGTCGTACCCCACAACCAGCTCGGCGCTGGTGGTGAGGCGGGGCCCGACACCGTGGGCAAGGTGCCCATCGGGCTTATGGGAATGGGCGAGTGGACGGACGAGCATAGCCTCCTCGAGTTCGGGCTCGATGCCGAGGAGCTGTTCGCAAAGGAGAGGTGCAGACCGCCGAACTGGATCGACGTCATTCAGCGGGCCAAGGACGACATGGCGAAGAACGGCGAAGAGAGCTTGATAGACATTTAGAGATGATATCCACAGACGCGAGCAATGCAAAAGATCAGGCCGCCGGCGGAGACGGCGCGATTCGTTGTTATCCCACAAATCAAGGATCCGACTTTTTGTGCGCATGATAAACAGCCCACCAAAGGCATCGCGCCTCCTCACCAACCCTGGGGAGGAGGCTGAGCTGAGATTAGTCGAGTGTTGCTTCGCTGTCAAACGACTCAGGCATCTGAGGCCGGGGTATCCCGTCCCCGGCGCTGGAGAAGCATTTTTGATCTTTCGTTGGCAGCGCCCACTCCCTTGTGCAGATCAATGCATTATGATGAAGCTGAGGGGATGAAGAGAGGGGCCGAGCTGACCCAGCTCTGGAAAGGGCAAGCCATTATCATGTTGATGACTCAAAACTAATAACCGAGGCAGTATGGACGGACGAGAAAGCGTATTCCGCAAGCACTGACTACGTACGCATGTTTGCCGGAAGGGCTCGCGGCCCAGGATGCATTTTGCGCGATGAAATGAGCATTTTGAGCCAAAGTTAACGTTTCTCGTCGCTTACACAGCCCCCCTCCCCCTCCCGCTGCCCCTCCACAATGTTTGGATGCGGCCCAGACCGCTCGAGCTGTACACGGTGAATTCTTCTTTGTAATTAATAGTGTTCCTCATGCTCGGAAGGCACGGGCGGCGGGGAAAAGTGATTAGCTTGCGGAAAGAACAGACGCACATGCGGCCGGCTTTGGAGGTGTGAGTGCGACGCGATGAGCCATGTACCCGGAAGTCACGCTGAGAGAGATATGAGGCTTTTCGTATTTCTGATGTTATCTTGACTTGAGTGATCTTGATGATGCGTTTGGTTTCCGCATGTAGTCTTGTCTCTCACCAAGGAAATAAGAAGAAGCATGATGTCCTCGCACAGTCGCTATCTGAGCCAGATGTAAGTGTTTTGCGCAGTGAACATTGTGGCCAGGTCCCCAAAGACTTTGTAGATTTATCAACGGCCAGACATGGAAGACACCAATCGCTGCCAGGTACTAGAATACCTGGTAACATCTTGGTCAGGAAGGTACTTTTAGAGAGGCCATTCCGGTACATGAGGATAGTTGTCCACGAAGCCACCCAAACAATGACAATCACAAACGCCATCTCCTAGGTTGAGCAGCACGCACATATATTTTAGTCCTAGTTATCGAAGTATTCGATTTCTCTTTTTGTTTCCCCACATTTTACAGACTGAAGAGACATCGGGTTTGGCCTCCTATTTAGTGTGGTAGGTGAGCGCATGGGAATCATCTCGTAAAAGGGGCTGATGGCCTTTCGGCGCATGCAAATCGAGTGATCTTTTCTTATACTTTATCCGTATCTCAAGCAGAGGGGTTCGAGCTCGTCCACAGGCCGTCTGAGTATCATGCCGTCAAGGTACACAGACCTCGACACTTCAATGGCCCCCAGAGACCGTACACGGAAGCCACGATGTGCCCGTCCCGTGGTTCGCTCTCTCACTCCACGTGACCCGGCAAAAGTTACACCGCACAACGACTGGAAGGAGCATCCAGGTCGATTCTTACCTTCTTCTTTCCAAGCCCATCAATATCTTTCATCCGCTGCCAGACCGAGTGCACTTGGTCTGGCGGTTTGGACAAATCCTAACTAAACACCCTTATAGAGGGGGCGCTGGTTCGAAGAGGGCGTCTCAACTTAACCTCAATTTCTGGGGCCTTTTCTTTCTCGTGATATCATCGTGATTTTTGGGCAACTCGTAAGTAATATTTGGCTTTCTGGCATGACGCTAGTTGCGTTCTTTTTTGAGTAAGCTGTATGGGGTTTCCAGTACACTTCCTCTTCTATCCGAAATACTTACTCCAGATGATCATAACAAGAGTTTCTATTTACACTAGATTGATGCCCATCTGTTTCAAAAATAGTTGGTTTATCTCGACTTACAGATCAATTCTCACATAGACAGGAAGGAAGAAGTGCTCACTGACACAACAAAGTAATCTACGCTCTGAGTGTGTCATGTTCGATAATAAACTCTTTGCCGGGTTTTCCCGATACACTCTTTACAAATGGTCTTCCCGTTGTGAGTTAGTTGTAGTATGGAAGAGAAGAGGCTTTGACATGGATTCAAATGCGAAGCCCAGTATCGTTGTCACGATGTCGCCTCTGAGTGGTTGACCAACTACCTTGGCAAGGGGAGCGTGTAGGGCCGCCTCAGCCTTACACTCCAAGGACCCCACCCCCGGTTCGAGTGCGACGCCAGTTGGCTATTAGTCGCACGCGATCTGCTTTAGCCACATTATGCACAGCTCTGACGTATTCATGACCTCGCGGCATCTTCAGCACTGATGCAGGTTCTAGCGCCGAACGAGCTGCAAAGTGCACATTGCAGCGCGCACCGCAGAACACGAAGCGGCTCAGACGACGAACACACAAGGTACAGACAGACATCAGCTGCAGCCCCGTTGAATTTCCCGGGCTAGGGCGGGATGCGGCAGACGACGATGTTAAGCCGGGAACGCGTGCCCTTCCCCGAAGTTGACCGCGGCCATGGCCGACTTCTTGGACGGACATGTACAGAAGTTTGCCCCAAATGCCGAGAGCATGCGATGGGAAAAGTTACCTGTTCGGGAACCGGAAGCGCAAGTTGTTGAACATGGCCATTGTTTATGAGGTCTGCAACGCCCCAACAAAATGCAAGAGAGCCAACCGGTTGAGGTGAGGGGTCGAGGCACGGCAGAGAGATAATTAGCTGGCCGTTACTCCAAAACCGCCTCTCCTGACGTAGCTTCCCAGCTCTTTTTCTTCATCCGTCCAGGTCTTGTGCCACTTCACGCCCTGAGCTTTCTTGTACCTAATTAGTCGCTTGTCTGCAGTTCAGCTCCCCCGCATTATGGCGCTGAATAAAACAACGATCTAATCTTTGCACGGATACAAAGGTATTGCCTCTTCTAAATATCAATTTTGGAACCGCGCACACCACATCGAACCGCGGCCAGCATATCGTACCTCGCTGAAAAGATATACGTTGGGGTATCCATCGTCGGTTTCAGAGCAAGGAAACACGCCATAGTCAACAGAAGAACGACGAAGTCAAGACTGAGTTACTGCACCGGAAGGAAAGAAATAGGGGCGTCTGGGGAGAAGACTGGATGATATCGCGGGCTTGGCCGACATAGTGGGGACCCCCCGGCCTGGCGCATTCCCCTGCCCTGCTCTCTTTCGCCCGGGCTCTCCAGGATACATCCCTCCCAATTTTTGGTCACCTCAAACATTGACAGCTCCTCTCTTCTCTCATCTGCGTTGCCAGTCGCACCACCACCAGAGAGGCGCGCCTTACCCTGCTTAGCCGCCACAACTCGTCGCTCTGTCGTTCGCTTCCTGTTGTCACCAATACCTGGCAATTCGTGAATGTCAGAGACGAATCCGAAGCTCCGCCCAACCCTCTTATCGCTACTGCCGCCCTGCTGCAGCCGAAGGTTCCACACCACGCACCACCGAGGATGAAAGTCTAAGGGAGTGGCGTAATAGTTGGCGAGATTTTCACCAAGAGACGTTTCTCACTTCACCCATCCGGATACACCTTCCTCCTCTGACATCGTACACCGAGTCGCCATGCCAGACCACGCTGGAACAGCCGCCGCCGCGGCGCCGCAGAGCGGCTCCAACCCGACCCCTCCGAAAGAGCTATACCCCATGGTCAACTGGAAGTATGACCTCTTCCTCTGGGTTTTGGGCGTATTGGTCGACCTTTTCTTCCGCGAAGTTCACCCTCGTGGCTCCTGGAAAGTTCCCAAGTCGGGACCTGTTCTCTTCGTCGCTGCTCCTCACGCCAACCAGGTCAGTCTTATTCTCCCCCCCCCCCCCCCCCCCCCCCCCCCACCACCCCCCACCCTACCGCCGCACGATCCTCCACTCCGCGCCGAGTGTGGATCGCCGTCTCCGCCGTCTCACCCCCCACCAACGCCCGCCCCCGCGGCTCCCCCCCCCCCCCCCCCCCCCCCCCCCCCCCCGCCCCCACCTGGCGAACTACCCCTGTCATTGTCACATGCTTACCGCAATCTCTGCAGTTTGTCGATGCTCTCATCCTTCAACGCACCCTCCGACACGAGGCCGGTCGTCGAGTTTCCCTCCTCATCGCGCAAAAGTCTGTCCATGGCTTCATCGGCTGGGGTTCGCGTCAGGTCGGCTCCGTCCCCGTCGGGCGCGCCCAAGACGCTGCCAAGCCCGGCACTGGCGTGATCTATCTGCCCGACCCCATCAATGATCCTACACTTATCCGCGGCATTGGCACCAAATTTGGCCAAGGTGAAGGCGAGGTCCACGGAATGCTGTTCCTGCCGTCTGCCAAAAAGCAGACCGGTGCCAGCATCGATATTGCGCAAATCATTGGACCCGAGGAAATTCGCATAAAGCGCCCATTCAAAGGCAAGCTGCCTCTCGAGCAGCTTACCGGACGCGACGATATCGATGAGAATGGCAACTACACCAACAAGGATATCAAGGGATGCAGTCCCGGCTTCCAGGGAACCAAGTATAAGCTCGCTCCGCACATTGATCAGACCAAGGTCTACGAGGCTGTTTTTGACCGTCTGAGGTCAGGTGGCTGTGTTGGCATTTTCCCCGAGGGAGGTAGCCATGACCGCACTGAGCTGCTTCCCTTGAAGGCCGGTGTTGCTATCATGGCACTCGGCGCTCTCGCCGAATCCCCTGACTGTGGTTTGACGATTGTACCCGTTGGCATGAACTACTTCCACGCCCACAAGTTTCGCAGTCGCGCCGTCGTCGAGTTTGGTCCTCCCTTTGAAGTTCCCCGGCACTTGGTTGAGATGTACAAGAACAACCAGAGACGCGAGGCCATTGGCCAGCTCCTCGACAGTGTGTACCAGGCTCTGAGCGCTGTCACCGTCTCTACCCCCGACTACGACACCCTGATGATGCTTCAGGCCGCTCGACGTCTGTACAACCCTACCGGAAAGAAGCTGCCTCTGCCTGTTGTCATTGAGCTGAATCGTAGACTCGCTATGGGCTACGAAAAATATAAGGATGACGCCCGGGTCGTTCAGGTGATCAAATCTGTCAAGCAGTACAACAAGGAGCTGCGCTATGTCAACCTTCGTGACCACCAGGTCCAGTACGGCAAGATGTCCACTCCCAAGGTTGTCTTCCTGTTGTTCTACCGATTTGCCAAGCTTCTTGTCCTTCTCGTTGGCGTATTGCCCGGTCTCTTTCTTTTCGCCCCTGTCTTCGCCGCATCCAAAGCCATTAGCGTTCGTAAGGCGAAGCAGGCTTTGGCGGGCTCGACAGTCAAGGTCCAGGGACGCGATGTTATGGCTACGTGGAAGCTCCTGGTCGCCATCTTCCTTGCTCCGACTCTTTATCACTTCTACTCGGCCGTCGTCACCTACAAGGTCTGGCAGGATCATCTCTGGGGCTACGTTCCTGAATGGGTGCCCTGGTGGACGACTTACTTAGTCATGTGGCCCCTTATGGTGGGCATCACGTTCGCCGCACTTCGATTTGGCGAAGTGGGCATGGACATCTTCAAGTCCCTGAGGCCTTTGGTCCTCTGTCTGACTGCCTCTAGCTACAACATCCAACAGCTACGGGCGAAGCGAGCGGACCTTAGCTCCCAAGTGACGGATCTGATCAACACCCTTGGACCCGAGATGTTCCCCGACTTTGAAAAGACCCGTTTGGTGGCAGACCCGTACAAGGCTGACGGATACTCCCGACCGCGCACACCGCCGGCGCGCCGTGATAGCGATGCATCCAGTGCCTACGATGCGGCGACGCCGCCTTCCATCTCTAGAAGGGCAACCCAGCAATCGAGCCGAGGCCTGCCTCGCAACGAATCGTACAGCAACATCGGCGGTGTTGGTATCTTCTCTACACGTCCACCTTCCCGATCGAGGAGTCGGAGCAGCAGCAGCGGAGGCGGCCTCGGATCCGGCGGGTTCCACATCAGCGGGTTCACTACGCTGGACTCTGCTGGTGGTTTTGACGAAGCAAGCAAAAAGATTCGCGAGGCAATGAAGCTCCGCCGCAGGAAGAGCGGGGATCATAGAATGGAGTTGGGCGCAGACGAGAGCGAGGATGAGGAGTACAACGAGGCGCGCAAGAAGAACACATGAAATCACACAAAGCATACCTAGTAGGCTTGTGAAGAAAGTACATTTTACAGAGAGTTGAACCTGTGGAGACGGGGGAGGGGGGGGTGTGAGGTAATTCAAATCAAGAGTACGTATAGACAGCGTTTAATACTTTCAATACTTTCAACATGGATTCCCATTTTGTGTTCTGCAAATCCGCGCCAGACCAGTTATGCTTCGTCCGACGTTTTGAGTGGATGCGCGGGACTGGGGCAAATGCGCAGCCAATTACGGCGATGATAATTCGAGCGCCGAGTGCCTTATCTCCGCCGGCCGGTACGGAGGTACGGAGGCAGGATCTGATAACTCAAAAGGGTTCCCCCCCCATTTCCCCTCCGCTCACAGACATGGGCTGACGGTGACGCTATTCGAGACGACTTGCACGCGTGGTTTCGACCGGCTATTCCGTGCCGGACTTTCAGATTTCACTCCGCGGATCTATAAGGCCGAGCCCCTGGCCTCGGTGATACGAGCCCGTTGGAATCACATCTTGCGTCCTCTCGTGGGGTTATAAATTTACATTAATAAGGACGCGCGCGGGACCTGGGTGAAATCAGCAACTGCGGGTGTTTTTGTTGGTCAGCTGGAAATCGGTTGACACGAAGAGTAGAAAAGCGAGAGACTACATTGGTTCGGCCCACTGAGCTTGCGGTGCGCCGGTTGAGTCCCTTATCCCACCTTTTCCCCAAAGCTTCCCAATTCCAACGCTTCCCACGCTTTTAGTTCCGAGAAAAAACAAGCCCCCCAATACCCCACATCCCGTCACCTTTCCGACGGGTGGGCCGAACGACTCCGTGTGCTTTCCGACCCGGTCTTGAGCGTTTTAGACACTGCCCCTCCAACCATACAAACCCCTAAGCTGTTCTTTGTGTTTTTCTTTTTGCTGCGGAGGGGAGTCGCTGGCATTTTCCTGCTTTCACAATCGATTCCACCGAGAAATAGAGGGAGAGAGAGAGAGAGAGAGCAAGAAAGGCATCATGGCATCCGCATTCAAGTCATTCGTTGTAGGCGCAAAGAAGTTCGCCCTTGGTACTGCCCATGGAGTATCGGCGCTCGAGCTGTTCCCCAAGACGGACCCCATCATTGACGGGGAGGATTGCGAGCACGACTGCGAGAGCTGCCATGTCAAGTACCCCAAGGGCTTCAAGATCGACGACAGCGACGAGCTATATGGCATGGTCAAGGGATGGAGCACGCACGCCCTCGTCGCGACGGGCAAGAGCGATTGGGTGAGGGACGTCTCGGACGAAAAGGGCAGCGTGATGGAGGCGATCGGCAAGGCCGCGGCGCCAAGTAACGGGGTAAGCAAGCCGTGCCCCCTCCCAGTTTCCCATTGGGAAGATACATGTTTGCTGATCAACATACACCAGAAATTGATGCTGTCGGCCTCCAACATTCCAACCCCGAATCACTCGAGCGACTACGCGGAACCTACGACAGTCCTCCTGCTCCCCGCCTTCGTCATCATCGACCACGTCACCCCGAAAAGCGTGCCCGAGCTCATCACCGAATTCGTCGATAAAGCCCCGACCAACACCTCCCCCCTGGCGCCGCTCGCCCTCCCGACCTCCATCCCCGTAGCCTCGACCAACGGCACCAAGAGGGGGGCGGCCGCACCAAGCATACCACCAGAGATTTCCCGCCGCCCGTGTCCGCACAGCGCGCTGATCCTCCTCTGCTCGCAAAAGACGCGCGACGCCCGCTGCGGCCAGTCCGCGCCGCTGTTGCGCAAGGAGCTGGAGCGCCACCTGCGGCCCCTGGGCCTCTTTCGCGACATGGACGACGAGAGGCCAGGCGGGGTGGGCATCTACTTTATTTCGCATGTCGGTGGGCACAAGTACAGCGCCAACGTCATGGTGTACCGCCGACCCGACGCTTTTGGGCTGGACGACGTGGAGCGCGTGAAGGAGGTGGCCGGCGGCGGCGAGCTGAAGCCCAAGGCGAAGACGACGACTGAGCTGCCGCAGACGGAGGACGTGGGCGCGGCGCAGTGTATCTGGCTAGCGAGGATCAAGCCAGAGGACTGCGAGAATTTGGTAAAGTATACCATCCTGCAGGGCAAGGTTGTGAAGCCTGAGACGCAGTTGCGTGGCGGTTTTGATAGGTCGAAGGGCATTATGAGTTGGTAACCCATTTTTCATTTTCTTTTTGTTCAAGACGGCATATTGTGGTCAAGGATACTTAGGGCATGCACGAAGGAATCAGGGCCAACCTACGGATTGTAGGTCAGGGGCGTTGGGGTGTATGGCATATAGAGGAAGACCAGCAGACGGTATTTTGGTAGACAAGAGCTACGTAAATGGGCAAACGGTTCAATAGATGCTGGATGATGGTATCAAGATTTGAGCGTGCTGCCTCGACGACCTTGACGTGCCTACTTGACACGGGAACTTTAGAGTAAGCTGAGGTCAACAAGGGAGGTAAACGTTGGCAGTACGTGACTTTGGCCTTTGCACTGCAAACCGAGTCTCCGCACAATGACCGAGTCGGCCGGCATGAGGTCCCACTTCTACCGGCCCGCCCCGCACCCTCCAGGAAAAACACCAGACCCCAAGCTGCAGGCGCGTTAGGCTGGCCGATAAGATACGAGTAACAGACGACGGGGAACAGACCCGCCATGGTCGCCCAGACAACGAAGCTAGCATAAACAATCCCCACGACCGCTCCTTCATGCCCAGTACCACCACATTCAGCTCACCGACACGACCATCCCGTCCCAACCACCCAATCTTTCTTATTGCACAACGACAAGAAAAACAATCGCGACCGGGACGTTGTCTGGCTCTGAGCCATCTCCCTCCCCCAGCTTGCGTCTGCGTCTTTATTGTCCCCCAATCCCAAATATGGTGTGAGCAGGAAGAGAAATAATTCCGCAAAGCTGTCGGGGTTCTCTCGCCTTTATTCATCACAAAGCATTGGAATTACACCTTTTTTTTTTTTTTTGGTCTTCTTCAAGCAAGCTCAGTCCGTCCAGCATTCCACACGCGGGTATTGTTTTCACTCAGCCATACCAGCAGAACCCTGTCTCGAACGTTTCCCGCCCCCATTTCCCTCGACAATGGGCTCCGCCGCCGAAGGAGATAACAATGGAGGAGGCCGCCCCAGGTCCTCGGTCCTCAAGAGCTTCATCCACCGCCGTAACCAGTCCGAGGGGTCTGCGCTCTTCACGTCGTCGCCCTCCGTCCAGGTCACCACCACGCCCGCACAACACATCTCGGCCGCGTACGCACAGCTGGAGGGCAGGATGCCGCCCCCTCCCATCCGCAGCGAAGGCTTGGGGGCCCTGGGCGAGCTGAACAACAATTCGCAGCAGGACCCCATCTTGCGTTCGCCCCGCAAACCAGATAGCAACCGAGACCGATCGCGCTCGCCGACTAAATCCGCCTTCAGCAACATGTCGTTCAAGTCCTTGGCAAAAGAGGCACGGAAATCGCGCGACGTGTCCCCCGAGAAGCCAAAGAAGACGAAATCGAGCACGAACCTGGCGGGCTTCCTCTCTCGACCCCGATCGACCATGTCTCTGAACAAGACCTCAAAGGAGGAGGAGGAGCGACGCCAGACTAAGGACAAGGAGAACCGCACACCCCCAAGCTCGACGTCGAGCGCCGAAATGACAGGTCCGGCACCGCCCATTTACGCACAATTCTGCAGTCAAGACCTCGGGAGTAATGGGCTGCATGAAAAAGCGTCCTTCGACGCGGGTAGTGGACGTTACGGCAGCGACGCCTCGAGCGACGTGTCCAAAAAACAGAGGCCCAAGTCATATCATCCGTCCACCGCCATCTCCGAGCATAAATCTACATCAGACCTTCGCAGCAGGCCAAAGATGGACGGCCGCGAACCGTCTGCTTCGGAACGAATCAAAAGCAAGGTCCAGCGTCCAAAGCTCTTCACGGCCTTTTCTGCCGCCGGGTCTAGCACCAAGTCAAAAGCTTCGGATACCCCCGATAAGCCCATCGATCCCAAAGAGATCGACCAGCACCTGGAGGCCATGCTTGATCGGCGCAACATCCCCGAGAACCAGCGCTACAAGATGCGTAGCCTGGCTGATACAATCAAGATGGAGTTCATCCGACAGGACTGGGCGGAAATGGCGGCCAAAGAGCAGGCGGGTGTCGTTGATGCCAACGAGCCAACTTCTGCGGCGACCGGAGGCTCTGACCGAGAGGAGACCCAATCGAAGCGTTCCCGCGGAAGAAGCTTCACGCTGTCGCGGAAAAAGGACCCAAAGGAGCCCGCGTCCCCGACGAAAAAGTCCAAGGGCGACAACACTTCCATCGGTCGCCATTTCCGAAGCAAGTCCACCGAGAGCGTAGTCAGTGAGCGGCCCGTTTCGGCGAGCTCGACGGGGAGTAACGGCATCCTTTCCAAGATCAAGTTTGGCCAGGGGCCGGGCGACTACGTTTCATATCTGCGCAAAGTGCAGAAGCCGGAACTGGTCGAGGTTGGGAAGCTGCACAAATTGCGGCTGCTTCTGCGCAACGAAACGGTCTCGTGGACCGAGGACTTTATTAAGCAGGGCGGCATGGAGGAAATCGTCGGCCTCTTGAAACGCATTCTCGCCATCGAGTGGAGGTAAGCTTTCATTTCTCTCCCCTTGGTCAACGCAAGATGAGTGCTATTCAGATACTAATGAGTACCAGAGAGGAACACGACGATGCCCTTCTCCACGAAAACCTACTATGCTTAAAGGCACTATGCACCACGGCGCTGGCCTTGCAATATCTCCATTCCATTCACGAGGAGTTGTTTCCCAAGCTCCTTCACATGCTGTTCGACCCCGAGAAGAAGGGTCCCAGCGAGTTCACTACGCGCAACATTATCACGTCAGTGTTATTTACATACATCGAGTCGGCTGCTCCCATGGAGCGCATCGCTCGGGCTCAAAAGGTTCTCTCCTTTTTGCGCAACCCCCAACCCAAGGAAGACGAGAGACCGGTCGGTTTCGTACTGGAAATGCGAAAAGACCGACCTTACACTGTCTGGAATAAAGAGGTTGTCAGCGTTACCAAGGAGGTCTTTTGGATCTTCCTACACCACCTCAACGTCATTGCCCTGCCGTCCGAGATGTCGACCAAGGGCGGGGCGCCGCTCGGCACAATCACAAACGGCGCGCAAGATCCGCACGCCTTCATGCACAGGCACTTCCCCTCGGAGCGGCCCCCCGTCCCGGCGGCGCCCTACGTCGGCGGGGTGGAGTGGGACGCGACCAACTACCTCGCCTCCCACCTCGACCTCATGAACGCCATCATCGCCTGCACGCCGACGGCGACGCAGCGCAACAATCTGCGCAATGAGCTCAAGATTTCCGGGTGGGAAAAAGTGCTCGGCGGCAGCCTCCGGCTCTGCAAAGAAAAGTTTTACGGCTGCGTGCACGAGGCGCTGCGGTGCTGGGTGGCGGCCGCGACGGAAGACGGGTGGGACGCGCGGGACGTGCGGTATGGTCCGCCGCCCGAGTCGCGGAGCTCGAGTCCGGCCAAGAAGAATGGCAACGGCAACGCGGCGGGCCAAAAGGCCAAGAAGGCTGCTGAGGCGGCGCCCAAGATTGAGATGCCCAAGTTGGATTTCGGGTTTGATAATCACCGTGTTACGCCCGTCATCGAGAGGGACGTTTGGCTGTCATGAGGATGATGAAGGGGAGGGTTGGGGAAAAAAGATTGAGGACTTAATAGTACATCAATTGCGACGGGAAGGGTACAAAAAGAGAACAGGATGTGGGAGGCCGGGCGGGTTTGCTGCCGACGTTGCATGTTGATGTCGATGGTCGTCCGGTCTTCACCAGTGTCAGTATCCCCTCGAGATTGTCAACGCAGGCGGACGAAGCAACCCCCGCCCCCCTTCCCCTTCTCTACCCCCATCCTTCGCTGTAGGTGGTCTCCTGTTTCCACCCGGCAATTAGAGAGACGGGGAGGAAGAGGAGGAGGGCGGTCTGCGGAAACTCTGGGCGCTGCATTTTCCTTGCGGACTTATTGGTTGGATCTGGGGGGAAAGGAGTCGTGTTGTTTTTTTGTCATCCCCTTATCTTTTTCCTACTATCCCCCCCTTCCGACCTTTTCCCCCCCTCCGTTTTCCTTCCTTGCATGTGGTTGGGATCACGGGGGAAGAGAAGAGAGAGAGAGAGAGAAGTTGTTCTGGTCTATACACACGCACACACACACACACACCCCATGCTGCCTAATGCTTCTTATGAAGGGCAACGTTTATGAATTGATGATCATCATAACATAGAAAAAGCCAGTATTTGTGCATCCGTTCGTTTTTATGAAGGAATAAGAAGAAGAAAAAAAAGAGAACTTTCATGTCTGAATAACCTTGCCTCTTTCGTCATTTGTTTCCTGATGTGCGTGCCACCTGGTAGCTAGGTAGGTAAACCC